TGTAATTTATCAAAAATTTTTTCTACCCCATAAAATTGTTCTATGGAAGTAAAGTAACAACTTCATGCACCAGAATACCGGAAGTATTTTTTTTTTAAAGAAAAAACTTATGTTATTGTTGAAACTTACTAAAAGCGTTCGGATTTACCCCAGTTGACCCTAATTATAATTTTTTTAAAAACGAAATCAAATATTTTTTTAAATTCTCAACATTCGCAAGTTTTTTCGATGGATTAATAATTACAATAATATGTGGTTACAATAATTGATGAAAAAAATTCAATGCATTTCTCGGGCAAACTTTTCAGCACGTCATTCAATTTACGTCTTCATTTTTTTTTTTTTTTTTTTGTGTCTATATCAAAGGCCAGATAGCGATTTGATTGATCTAATAGCGATAAAATTATATCTTGCCAATAAATAAATATAGTCGACCTATCGTGACGAGGAATCGATTTTTGTGTCGATCAGCTGGAATCAGTGTAGCTGAAAGAAAAAGTTTTTTTTAAACACTTTATACTGATTGGAGGTATATCAATATATATATATATAAATTTTATCACAGGATCGCGTATTAAAAAAAGAAAGTTTCATATATCAGCCACGGGGAACGTGTATTGCATAAATAAATATATATATATATATATATATATTTAGTTGTAACATATTCATGATAATATTGCAAGGAAAATAAATTCCGCACGAGCATGCGGAAAATTGTTTCTTTTATGTGGCGAACTTGATATTTGCTTATAATGACCTGCTAACGTGAAAAGCGCAAGTAAAAAAATAATTATTATTCTTAATCGATTATTTAGAATCGTCCCACGGAGTTTAAAATAAAATGATATTTATATATTTGAATAAATTTATAATACAGGAACAATAAAATAATCAATCAAGATCTTATATATATATATATCGTATATTTGGGACCTGATCTCAGAAAACTGGTTTTGCTAATATAACTCTTGTAACACGGTTGTTGATTCAACAAAAGATCATTGTTTTGCTTTTATGTAAGCACAACACTGATAATACCATTTTTTGTACGATCTTGAGATTCTTATTTTTTCATTCTATTTTTCTATTTACGCATTCTATAGGGAAAATATATTATTTATCTAAAGGATCCTAAAAATTCAGGATCTTTTATATACGTCAAAAAGTTTGTTGACGAGTTTATTTACCTAAACGACTTAAACGGGTTATAATTAAGATTAATTTAATTAAAACTCGAAAAAATAAATTGAAAAATTAGATTGTAACAGTAACAATTATTATTTTTTGTCTTAATAATAAAATTATGTTTTGTACGTTTAATTTTTTTCGTTTTCTTATTCGTTTTTTTTTCTTTTTTTTTTTTTGAGTTTGTTTACAAATATTTTTCTTTGGTTTCTATTTTTTTTACATTCTTTGCGCCGATGTCAAGAGCCTTTAGTCTGAAAATTTATTAAAACTATTTTGGATATTTTCCAAGATATGTATATTTTATGTCAATAAAGTTAGCAGAGCAAAATCAGCAGAACCTAACCGGACTATATGGAGATTTAAAGGCTTTTTAAAGGCTATTTAAGTGCCCTATTCCCAATTTAAATGCTCCCATAGGGTTCGAGAAAACACATGATCTGCTAAACCTAAAAAAAGTTAGCAGACCATCACATCTAAAATACATAAAACCCAATAAATTCACTGTTTTAAGTAAAGATTATTTAAAGGCTATTTAAAGGCTCCACAAAAAATTTATAACCAACTAATTTAAGCCCTAAATAAGGGCTAAACTAGTGATTCTACTCAGCGGAACAATAACTTTTTACTCAAATTCGAAAAAATCCTAATTTTCATAGCAGAATAATTAAAGGCTAATTAAAGGCTCCCAGAATAAAGTCCAAAAAACTACCCTGAGCCCTTATTAAGGGCTAAACTGACGATTCGTTCCAGCAGAACACTACCTTATCAATTAAATTCCAAAAACTTCTCATTTTCACTGCAGAATAATTAAAGGCTAATTAAAGGCTCCCAAAAGAAAGTCCAAAAAACTACCCTGAGCCCTTATTAAGGGCTAAACTACCAACTCTTTCCAGCAGAACACTAACTTATCAATCAAATTCCAAAAAATTGTCATTTTCACTGCAGAATAATTAAAGGCTAATTAAAGGCTCCCAGAACAAAGTCCAAAAAACTACCCTGAGCCCTTATTAAGGGCTAATCTACTAACTCTTCCCAGCAGAACACTAACTTATCAATAAAAATCCAAAAAATTCTCATTTTCACTGCAGAATAATTAAAGGCTAATTAAAGGCTCCCAGAACAAAGTCCAAAAAACTACCCTGAGCCCTTATTAAGGGCTAAACTACCAACTCTTTCCAGCAGAACACTAACTTATCAATCAAATTCCAAAAAATTGTCATTTTTACAGCAGAATAATTAAAGGCTAATTAAAGGCTCCCAGAACAAAGTCCAAAAAACTACCCTGAGCCCTTTTAAGGGCTAATCTACTAACTCTTCCCAGCAGAACACTAACTTATCAATCAAATTCCAAAAAATTCTCATTTTCACTGCAGAATAATTAAAGGCTAATTAAAGGCTCCTAGAACAAAGTCCAAAAAACTACCCTGAGCCCTTATTAAGGGCTAATCTACTAACTCTTCCCAGCAGAACACTAACTTATCAATAAAAATCCAAAAAATTTTCATTTTTACAGCAGAATAATTAAAAGCTAATTAAAGGCTCCCAGAATGAAGTCCAAAAAACTACCCTGAGCCCTATTAAGGGCTAAACTGACGATTCGTTCCAGCAGAACACTACCTTATCAATTAAATTCCAAAAAATTCTCATTTTCACTGCAGAATAATTAAAGGCTAACTAAAGGCTCTTACAACAAACTATAACAAATCACCCTAAACCCTTATTAAGGGCTAAACTACCGGCCCTTTCCAGCAGAACACTAACTTTTTACTTAAATTAGTTGGTTATAATTTTTTTGTGGAGCCTTTAAATATCCTTTAAATAATCTTTACTTAAAACAGTAAATTTATTGGGTTTTATGTATTTTAGATGTGATGGTCTGCTAACTTTTTTTAGGTTTAGCAGAACATGTGTTTTCTCGAACCCTATGGGAGCATTTAAATTGGGAATAGGGCACTTAAATAGCCTTTAAAAAGCCTTAAAATCTCCATATAGTCCGGTTAGGTTCTGCTGATTTTGCTCTGCTAACTTTATTGACATTATTTTTCTGAACAGAGAGACGCACTTTTTCCTGGAGTGTTGAAAAAATTTTCTCTGAAAATTGCCGAATTTGTTTGAATTTATTTTATTTTTTTGTTTTTTTATTGACAAAGATTTTTAACACTTTTGTCAACGATTCTGCTTAAAAATTTATCAAAATTTCATATTTAGCACATTTTTCTAAGAAATTTTGTATTTTTCCATTATAAACAATAAGAAGTGGATTTTTGGAAAATAATAATAATCAATGGCACTTTGTTTAAAATTCTTCGAAGAAATAAAAATTTTTCCATCAAATGCGTGATAATTAATTTCTATAGAAAAATAATTTAGACAATAATATTCATCGAGTATATCATTAAATTAATTAATAAATTGATTAAAATTAATTAATTAAAATTCTTTGTTTTCAATTTGATTAGTTTTTTTTTTAAATAGTCCAAGAAGAAATATTCTTCATAATTCAAGTTGAAATTTTCCCATCGAAAATACACACTGAAAAAAAATTAATTTAAATAATCCATTATACCAACTTGAAAATTATCTAATATAATTTACACTTTTATAAAATTATTATTATTTGTATTCGTTTATTATTATTTAAATCAATTAAAATTATATTTATTTCAAATATAATTTAATTTACAAACTTATATTTTTTTTATTGTTGATTACTTCTTTTGTGTTTCTAATTCTTTTTAAGTATTAATTTTTTACGAAGCTGAAGTATGCAACGTTTATGATAAATTATTTTTTAAGAAATAATTTTTTAAAATGAAAGATTTTATAATTTTTTTTGCCTAAAAAATATTTTTTTATAATTTGTTGATTAATGAAAAATACAAGAAATAATTTTTAGGCAAAAAAAATACAGAAGTTTTTATTTTAAAAAATTATTTATTTAAAATTCGTTTATCATAAACGTTTGCGTACTTCAATTTCGTTATTTTTTCTTAAGTTTACATTGAGAAAAAAATTTATTTGATTCAAATAATCGCTTACTTCACTATTATCAAATAAATATTTACTTGAACCAAATACTTTTTATTTAAATTAAATAAATTGTATTTGAATCAATAATTTCTGTATTTAAAACAAATTAAATACCATTTAATTGACATAAATAAAAATTATTTGGTTCAAGTAAATATTTATTTGATAATAGTTAAGTAACCGATTATTTGACTTAAATACATTTTTTTTCAATGTATATTCGTATAATATTACAATATTGAAAATGTGAGTTAAAATATAATTTATTAAATTAATTTAAATATTTATTTAAATCAAAAGTAATTTTTAATTGAAATAAAAAATATATCAAATTTTTTATTAATTTTCTTATTTAAAAATAAAACAAAAATCAATTTTATTTAATAAAAAAAAAAAAAATTTAATATTATCGAATAATAAATAGTTATATTTAGCAATGAGAGGCAGATATATTTTTTATTTATGAAAATGAACATTTTTATTTTTAAAATACATATTTGATTCCTCAGGATATGATTGACGAGAGGAATTTTGAGATGAAGACAAAAATATACGTGTCATCTAATTTGCTTTGACATTTTCGAGTCCTCTAACTTTTCATTAAAGTTAATGTACTAGGGTCACTGGTGAGGCCGGGTAATAGATCAAAATGAAGTGTCTAAGTCCTCAATTCGGATCTGCAAGTTCCGTCCGTCCGAAGACAATCAGAGAGAGAGAGAGAAAGAGAACTCAATTTTAATAGGACAATACGTAGTCGTGACTCGTGTGTCTGTTTTTAGATCATTGGCATCGATGGGGTCACTGAAATTTATGACCTCGGTGCATAAATTTACAAATGGAAAAATTAGTGAAAATTTCAATTCCGAGGAAAAGAAGAGAGAGAAAAAAAAAGGTCCATAATGTCGCGAGATCTTTTTGCCCCTCTCTTCACTCTTGTCACCAGGAGATATAGTAATGGCGGTTTCAGGCGCACACGCATCAGTCGTTGTCGAGCCGTCGTCAATTCAAAACGTATATTCCGTTTCCTTCCAATTTCAATTGTTTTCTTATAAAAAAAGAAAAAAAAAATAATAATAATCTTTTTTTACTTTCAATTAAAGTGTTAAGAAAAATTTATTTTTTAAATAAAAAATATTCCTTTAAAGGCCAATAAAAACAAAAAGGAAAAAAATACTCTCGCGTATATTTAAAGTTTAAATTATCATTAGAAAATATTTATCAAGTAAAAATAGCATGAGGTCGAGCATTGCCCGATGATAATTTGATTGTTACAAAGTTCAGTAGAAAATCAACGAAACAATATTATACTATATATGTATATTATATAGAATGGATTATATTTATCGTTTTTGTGTATGTTTATAGAAGAATGGAAAATTAGTGAAGAAAACTTTATAATGATCGTGATGGATCAACACATGGAGATTTTTTTCTATCAATTTTTGGATAAAATTTATTTTTTAAGTTAAAAAAAATAATATTAATAATAATAATAATAATAATGGTGCAGTGATTATAGTTAATACTGTTATGTGCATTTAATAACAGAAAACATTTATTTTTTAAACTTGTGATAGTTTTTGAAAATGGCGCCCGCGAGTACACTGAACTTTTCTGAACCCTGTCAACAGTGGAGGTATCCAAAAATTGGAAATTCCGGTCCAAAATTGGAAACCTCAAGATCAAAAAGTACAATTGATCTCAAAAATAAAGAGGCTGATACGGCTTACAAAAAAATCTGCAAATTTATCAGAAGACTGAAATCAAAAAAACGTGAGTTTTGAGAATTTTTTTTTTTTTTTTTGTTATAATTAAAAAAAATATATATTAAAGAATTATTATTTTTATACTTTGATAAATTTTTATATTTCTATTAAAAAAAAATGAATAGGATAAATATTAATTAATATTTAAACAAATGATATTCTATACAATTTTGATTTATTTATTAATTTGAGAATGTGGAATTTTTATTTATTTTTAAATTATTTAGAAAATTGTAATTTCTACTTTTAAAAATGCCATTTTGTAGGATTTTTGGAATAGAAAATAAAATTTGTTTTAAAGGTCATAGGTCAATAGTATATTGGCGGTTATATTATAATGATCTAAAAAATTATGAAAGAGTATATAACTCTTGGATTTAAACATTTTTGTTTATTTGTTTAAGAAAGTAACCAGCATCTTCTTTTGTTAGAATTTATAAGAAAACAAGAAGGTAATTTTTTTTTTTTTTATGTGACTCTAAATAAATTGTGTATGTAGGACAAAAATCGATTTCTGTTTGCCACTTTGCAAAATGCAGAGAGACTGTTGGCACGACAATTTTCCCTTTCTTGTTTTTAAGCACATTGCAAAACTTGTTTTGTCAATAAGAATCGAAAGCAATTCTATTTATTACAAGACGCATACACAAAGTGTGAATTATAAGACAAACAAAAATTAATTACTAAAAATAGAAATATTATAAATCTATTTTTCTCTCTATTTTGATGAATTTATAATATATGTATATACACGTGAAAATTGTTCCGGTTTCCTTCAAGATCGACGGCCAGGAAAAAAAATAATATATATATAATATTTATCCTCGCGCGCGCACTAAACCGGAAGAACACACCGTAAATAATCGTTTTCGTTTATTTTGAAACGTCAATGGAGCGCGAATCTAAACCAAACTTCACTAAATTCAATAAAGACCAACAAATTTATTTGTAATTTCGGTCACGTTTCATCTAGGAATTATTTTTGGACCGTAAATAATTTTATAATATAGAGAGATTTTCAATTTATTTGATTGTTATTTTTATAAATATATCATCCTACATTTTTTTTACATTTTTTTTTTTATTATATTATATCTATTTTATGTTTTTTTAAAAAAAAATTAATTTATAAATATATATTTTTCTATCTGCGTACATTTTTTTAATTATGTTTTTTAATTGATTGTTATTTTTATACAACCTATTTTTTTGTGAGTTTTTTTTATCTTCTTTAAATTTATATTGCATTGATAACCATTGTTGGTATACTATGTCTGTTGATTGAAATTAAAAATTATGATTTTTTGTTTTCATTTTGTTTTCTCTCTTTGAGCTGCTATTTAATAATAGGCTAAACTTTAATTGAATTAATGATAAATTTTCTGAATTATCATTTAAGGAAAACAGTCGTAAATTTTAACAATGTGCAAATCTACTTATTTTTATTTTAGAGCGTTTGTTCTTTGAACTTGATGACTGCCGTAATACGTCATTTTGTTGATATTAGCATTAACGTTGAAATACCGTATAATTTTGCCTATTAATATATAATTGTCTCTGATATACATATATATATATATATATATATATATATATATATAGCGATTATTTGTTCACACTTTGTAAATAAAAAATTATTTTTGATTTCGAAAATATTTGTATTTTTAGAATGTTTTTTTTTAATTTTTTATTTATTTATTTTTATTAATGTATAACATTTATTTTTACTAATCGTAATTATTTCTCTTTTGTATATAAGTACTGTTTATAATTTTCTTGGTTAATTTTTGAATTTTTTATAGATTTTTAGTTTTTTTTATAAAATTTGTTCAGAAATCATTTTTGTAGATGTAACAAAGTTTTTGAAAAATTATTCGATAGAATTGAATATATATCATTCTTATTGCGATCTCTCTACTCTAAGTAGTAACGAACGTCACTGTTTTCTTGACCTATTTTTCTCTTTGCGACGACGAGTTTGGCTCAATTTTCAATCGTTCGTTTATAAGGTTTTTTTTTTTTTTTTAAATTTACCTAACTAAATACATAAATATTATGTATGAAATAAATATTAATTTTACAAATATATAATAATTTTCATTTGAATTAAATGAAAATATTTTTGCCTCAGAACTAGATAACTATTAATAAATTAAAATAAATAATAACATAATTAAATAACAATTTACAGGCCTCGGATTGTACGAATTTTTCTGACTTCTTTTTCAAAAATACGACTTTTACGACTTCTTTTTTTACAAAATACGTTTTTTTAGTATTCAATGCAGATCTTCTTCAGATCTTCTTTATTTCAATTATTTAACAAATTTTTAACTAAAATTCTTCACTATATTAATTATTTTTAATAATTTTAACGAAATTCTTCACAAATTCAATTATCTTAAACTATTTTTCAATTAAAATTTTTATAAAATTTAAAAACTATTTATAATTTAAAAAAAAAATCAGCAAATAAAATTACAAAAAATTATTACCTAATTCAAAATCACTTGAAATTTAATAATTTGCAAAAATTTCAATTATTTTTAATGATTTTTATAATCATTTAACACAATCTTTTGAAAGTATGTAAATTATTTTCAAACATTTCAATTTAAAAGCTTCTAAAAATTAATTATTTCTAAAATTTTCCATCTAAAATTTTTTGAAATTTAATAATTTCAATTATAATTCTATTGAAAAATTCAATTATTTCTAAAAATTTCAACTTTAACTCTTCCAAAATTATTATTATTTAAAAAAAAAATTTATTTTAAAATCTATAAAACTTGATTAGGTATTGCCTGAAATTTTCTTCACCATCAAAATTAAAAACTGTGACAAAATTTTTAATTCGAATTACTTGATTAAATCAGACTTCAAAAAATTATAAAAATGAAACTTTAAGAATTTTTTTGTCCTACTTAAATAAAATTTTGAAAATTTGTCTTACAATGAGTACGATTCTGAAATATTCGAAATAAATTTTCTTTATAATATTCTTGTAGAATTATTCTCATTACAAATTAATAAAATGAATTTAATATCTGATAACATTTAGTTATTTAACGTAAAATATTTATTAACCAATTAAATTTTGTTAAAATAAAAAAAATCGACTTTTTCGACTTTTTTTTGGAATATAAGTCGACTAAAACGACTTTTTTTGTGCCTTAAAGTCGATCCGAGGCCTGAATTTATTTACCTCGAAGAAAAATTTTATTTTATCGCAAATAAAATTTATATGATAAAAAATACAATTTAATTGACTTAAATAATTGTAAAAATTAATAATTATTAGTATTGTTTTGATAATAATATTATTATCTTACTATATTATTTATAAGAAAACTTGTATGAGGAAGAATTGAAATAGAAATATTTTAGTTCTTTATATATATATATATATATATTTATTCCTGGTTCATTCATCTCGAATGAATCACGAGAGTCTTTTTCAACTGTCAAAAATGTTCCAACTGTCAAGATATATGTATATGCAGCAAAGGGACATTTAAAACGATGCAAAGCCAAGAAAAATTACAAAAATTTCCACTACACAACGAATTTCAAAAATTCTTCTTTGATGAGTTCTTTAATTAAAAATAAAAAGAATCACCGTCAGATGAAGGGAAGTGCATACAAAATACGTAATTTGTCCTTCAGTCGTGCCGGTATTGTCAAACATAATTATTATACATTTGTAATTAACATTTTCACGTTAGTATGTTTTATTATTAATATTAAAAAAATTAAAATTAAATTTATTTTTGCATTATATAATAATAATAATAATAATAATAATAATTTAAATTTTTATTATCATTATTATTGTTATTAGTTACATAATTTTTAATGAAAATATTTTGGTTATTTTTTGGTAATTTTTGGTTACAATTACAATGAATGCGTTTTTGTTATAAAAATAATAAAATTGTAATAAATTTTTCGTTATCAAATTGGACTTTTTTTTTTGTTACTGTCATTAAATTTAATTTGAGTAAAAAGTTTGAAATTTGTATGAAAAATAATAATTTACACTAGTGATTGAAAACTATGAAAAGGTTATGTAATTAAATAATTTTAGTTAATTTTCATAAAGAAATTGATTTATATTTTAAAGAAATATTTATAGAAGTGATCTTTTATAGCGTCATTTTTCTATATAAAAAAAAGAGGTAATGTTTAAGTAATTAAAGACAGATATTTTTGAAGAGTTCCAGCTATTTTGTTTTTTTTTTAACAAAAGGTCAAGGTTTTTTTTTTTTTATAAAATGACTTGCTCTTTTTTACACATTTGCCTTTATAAACAGAATTACACCGCGGTTATTTTCCATATGTTTTGTTTGTTTAAAAAATTTTCAAATTCATGCGAGAAAAAACTAGAACTGGAAAATTGTTGTTTTTTTTTTGCTGTGAAATTTTTTCACAAGTTTTTTTTTGTCACTAAAAACAATAAATGAGATTGGTTTTTTTTGTAATTAGATTATATCTAATTTTTCAAAAAATTAATTTTTATTTATAAGGTTTTTTTTTGTCCTGGTAAAAATTTAATTTAAATCTAATCTTATCTTCTAAGAGTTGATAATTATAATTATTTATTATGTACATTTAAAAAAAAAAGATTATAATTACATGATTAGAGATATTACAATTATTGTAACCATTTTTAATTGAAAATTAAAAAAATCATTAATAAGATAGTAAATTAATTATAAATTATTAAGAACGCATTTTGTTAGTCTATATAGGCCATAAAATTTTAAAGGCACAAAATTATTGGTTAGTTGGGAATAATTATGATTCTTAGCGTTGAAATATTATTGGCTGTAAAAAACAAAGCGAGAAACGAGCTATTTTCGCTCTTTGTGCATTTGAAGTTGACGTGTAAGAGAGAGAGAGAGAGAGAAAGAGAGAGAGAAAACGTTATGCAAAAATAGCGCAGGAGCCGTTCAAATAGTCCGCGAGGTAAATAAGTTACTCACCAGAATTGCTCTCAGCGGAAGAGCTTTCGCTAGTTTGTATGTCCAACCTGAGCGATCCATACAATTATCCCTCACACAACTCGACCTTTAACTCCAGACATAAATTTGTAATAAACCGTTTTTTAGGAAAGACCAACCTATTTCCTAATTATCTAAAATTTTATTCACTCTTTTTTTTCTATTTTTTAAAAAATGTTTTTGATAAAAAATAGTTTCTCATTTTTTTTTTAGTTTTACAAAAAAAAATACAAATAAATTTTTTATTACTCTTATTTTTACAATCAATGGATAAAAAAAATACTCGAGAGAATTGAGAATACATAATATTCAATAAATGGTTCGAAATTCCAGAAGATTTTCATATTTCTGGTTTTTGATAATTAATTTAAAATTTATGTTTGTTATGTGATAACGCTCTTTATCTCGAAGATATAGTTGAGTTTTTACACTTTGATTTGAGTCGAATTTTTTAAATTCCGATTTATTTTATTTGACTAAATGGATATATATATATATATATATATATATAAAAGTAGGATAGATATATTTGATTAAGAGATAAATGTGGGATTTAAATATTTAAAAATTGAATTAAAAAAAAAAGAAATTGTAATTTAATTTTTTTTTGGTAATTTTTTCGATGTACTATAGCGTTTTCGTTATTGCTTTTTTTTCTATGGGTGGTGCGATGTACAATGCAGCCAAGGATGGAAGTAAGGTGACGACAGTGGTGGCGACTGCTGGAGCTGGTTCAGATCGTCCTCAGGAAGTGTCCTATACGGACACCAAAGTCATTGGTAATGGCAGCTTTGGAGTCGTCTATCAGGCAAAACTCTGCGACACTGGCGAAATGGTCGCTATCAAGAAAGTTCTTCAAGATAAGAGATTTAAGGTAAAGTCCCTCTCTTCTTATTTTTATTTCAATGCAAAACAAAAAACTACAATTATATAAAACTGAAAAATTAAAAATAATAAATAAAAATTAATAAAATTTGAATAAAAAAACAAACTTTTTTTTATAATTAAAAATTAATTTTTTACTAATTGTTTTCTTTTTTCAATTTCAGAACAGAGAATTACAAATTATGCGGCGCTTAGAGCACTGCAACATCGTAAAACTCAAGTATTTCTTCTACTCTAGTGGTGATAAGGTAATTGATTTGATTTTTGAGCACACAAACAAAATATAATATTTAAAGGAGTAAAATTCAATATTTTTGCGTGAAATCTCAATCCTTTATATCTCTTTTTTTTCGATTTTATTTAAAAACTAGATTTTGGCTCTATTGATTGAATAAATAATATATATATATATATATCAGGGTTGCCACGGACCATTAAAAAGTCAGGGAATTTTTATGAAAAGTACTGGAAAAATATCAAATTTCTAAAAATGTAACTAAAAATATAATTTTTGAAATTTTCAATTCATACTTTTGGTTCTAAAAATTATTGTCTTAAACTTTTTATAATTGAAAACCTCTTGAAATATATTCATTAGAGTTAAGGAAAACATTTAAATTTTGACTGGAAATCAGGAAAAAATAAAATAAAATTTTTGTGACAACGTAGATTCAATTTAAAAACAAAATTATCTTTTCTAAATTAAAAAATAATTTTAATTAATGTTAAATTTGGAAAATTTTTCAGATTTACTATAAAAAAAAAAAAAAAAAAAAAAAATTGTTAAAAATTTCCAATTAAATTTTGTTTAAATTTAAATTGAATTTGAAATATAAATTTCATCAAGTAAAATTAATAGATACAAACTTCTATTTTTCAAATATAATTAAAACCGGATCGATCTTCTTTTTTTTCATTACTATTATATTTTTAAAAGTTTTTTTCTTGTTTTTTTTTTATTATATTATTTGAAGTAATTTTTTTATTACTTTTTATTACTCGAAATATTATTATTGACTTTTATGAGATTTACCTAATTTTCTCTCGAGTTTTTCATTTCTCGTGTTTAGTATATTATTGGAGCCATAAAAAGTTTTTTCTTTATCCTTTTTGAGCCTTGTCAGAAAATTGAGCAATTTTCATCATATTATTATGATGAAGAAATTTCTTTTGATTTTTTTGTATTTTCTTTTGTTAATGAATAATTTATTTAAAAAATTTCGTTTAAAGCATGCGTCATTGTTATGTTATTTTTTGTAGAACGTCTTAAACGCGACTAATCCAGTTTTTCACGTCGACGTAAGTTGGAGAGCGAACCCAGTAGTTAATGAAAATCCCCTTTAACCATGAGATCGGCCTAAGTTTGCTTTTAGTTGCCACAACTGTAATTTTGTGGTAATATTTAAACCGCTCGACGCGTGGTAAAACGTTTGAAAATAAATTTTAAATATATTTTATTTTTGGGGTACTTTTTCCTCTTATTAAATGAAATAAAAATTAAAGGAACCTTGAAATTTTCTTTTTTTTTGTTTAATCTATTTGAAATTTAGAAACTTTATTTCCTTTTTTTTTTAAAGAGAAATTTCGCAATTAAAGAATTTTATTTCTACTTGAATGAAAAATAAAAAAAATACTAAATTTTTTTTTTTAAATTATACTATCATAATGAAAGATATACAAAAATTTTATTGTGTAATGATGAAAGAAAAATGAAATAAAAAGTTAATTAGAACAGGTGGCAATGAAGAAAAGACGAAGAATTTTTATGGAAAATGTAAAATTTAGATTGAGACAAAATAAAATGATAATGGCCACTTGCCATCTTTGTCGATCTCTCTTTTTAACGAGCTCTAGAAATTTCGTTTATAAATACAGAAATGACAAGAATTCCTGAAATCAGATATTAATATATATTTAAAAGAGCACAATAATTCTTTTATTCATGAAACTTTTGAACGTTTAATTTGAAAATAAAAAAAAAAGTGTTCCCTCATGATAAAATGAATGTTCAAAATTTGAAGTACATTCACCTCCCGCTAAACTTTTTCAGTTTAATTAAAAAAAAAAAAATTTATTCCAAGCTAGTAGTTAACGCTGCTTTTGCTAGTGTTAGTAATTTTTTTGCTCATAAAGTGTGTGAAATATTCAAAAACATACTTTATGTTCAAAAAAATGTGTTCTATTAAAATTGATTCCGAGATTTTGATTTTATTAATTATTATTGAACTTTTGAGGATTTTTTTTTAAATTCATTAACTTTTTTTGATAGATTTGTTTTGAGTGATTATTATTTTTTTATTTTAGAAGGACGAGGTTTATCTCAATTTAGTCCTGGAGTATATCCCCGAAACCGTGTACAAAGTTGCCCGACACTACAGCAAAAGTAAACAGACGATACCAATCAGTTTTATTAAGGTAAGAAGTGTACTTTTATTTTTCAACATTACTGTATTTTGTAAATTGATTTTTTTTTTTTTTTTTGTAAAAAAAATTTTTAAAAAGTACAATAATTTATCTGCAACTTGATTATTTTTCAATTTAACTATTCCTCAAAATATTAAATTACTAATTAATGTTTTAAATGAATGCTCTTATAAAACACAAAAGTAATTTGTTGGAGTTGAAAATAGAAATTTAAATTCTACAAGAGGTAAATCATTTTGTTGAAAATGCATTTGTTTTGTTTATTTTTGCTTCCTCGTGGAGGAAGCTATTTTTTTTGTTTTTGTTTTTGAAAAAGATTTAAAATATATGAGGGTGATTCTCTCAAAAAGAACAAATTATTTGTGCACAATTTTGGACAAGGTTTTTGTTAAAAAATAATAACATTAATTTCAATTAATAAACATTCTCCCAGCCATACGATAAAATTCAACAAATTTTTATGGGATCACTAAAGAAAATTTCAAAAAAATGTCAAACAACTGAATTATTGAATGAAAACTAGTGTTAAAACTCCATTCCGTAACATCAGTTTTTATTCAATATTTCAGTTATTTTACCTTTTTTTAAAATTTTCTTTATTGGTCCGATTGAAAATTGTTAAATCCTAACGCATGGCTGACAGAATTTTAAATAATTTTAATTAATTTTCATATTTTTTAACAAAATATCTTAAAAGCGTAATTTGTCCTTTTTGAGAGAATCACCCATGAAGCAATTAAAATTTACAAAGTAATTACAATTTAATTCAGTACAAGAATACAATTGCATTAAAAATGTCTTCTATATTTCATATAGGTACATGATTTTAATTATCTGCAGCTTAAATCTTAATTATTCTGTCTATTTTTATATATAGTAAAGTAGACATTTGTCCAAGGTAAGACAGAGAAATTTAAAATTTTTATATTATATTTTTATATTGCAAATATTCTTTTGTTTTTAATGATTTTATTGTGTTCAATTATTTATAAATATTTTACATTTAATTTTCGAAATTTAAATTAAATTTACTATTACTATATTTATGTTTAAATTTATTATTGCTTTCTCATTGATTAAATATTTTTAAGTATTTATTTTTTATTTTTTTGCCTATTAATTTTTTTCTCTCAAAAGATAATCACTAGGTACTTTTTGGCAGTAGAAATATAACAGAATTCATATTATAATTTTATTTTTTATTTTTTCTGTAATGGGAATTAAATTACATGTGTCTTTTTTCACTTTTGCTGAAGTTAATAAAGAACCTTAAACATAAATTTATTTTGATCTCTATAATTTAAGGCAATTAAGTCATTTGTAAATTAAAATAATCTAGAGAGGAAATGGAACAGTTATTAAACCGTACTTATATAGACACGTATATATATATATACTAACGTCCATTGAAAAAACGATAAGAGAAAGAAAAATGTTTCCAAATAGTGTGAATAATCAATTTTTTTGATTTTTAATGGATTATTTTTGTTTTTGTTTTCAGCTGTATATGTATCAACTATTTCGTTCACTGGCGTATATTCACTCATTGGGAATTTGCCACAGGGATATAAAGCCCCAAAATTTGCTTCTTGATCCAGAAACTGGAGTTTTAAAGCTCTGCGATTTTGGTTCAGCCAAACTTCTGGTCAAAGGAGAACCCAACGTGTCTTACATTTGCAGTCGCTATTATCGCGCTCCTGAACTAATCTTTGGTGCTATTGATTACACTACAAAAATTGGTAATTTGTTCTTAATTTAAGCTGAATAATATTATTAATTAAAAGAAAATTAAATTACAAATCAATTTAAAAAAATTATTAATTACCTATTTAATTTTTTTTAATTTAAAATAATTAATTGATTTAAAAATGAACTTTTATATTGAAGATTATTTTTACTATTATATTTTTAATTGCACTTGATATTATAAAGTCATTATTGATTTGACAAATTAAATAAAAAAAAATTATATTGTTTTTTTAGACGTATGGAGTGCTGGCTGTGTTTTAGCAGAGCTTCTGCTCGGACAACCAATTTTTCCCGGTGACAGTGGCGTAGATCAACTGGTTGAAATTATCAAAGTTCTTGGTACACCGACACGTGATCAGATTCGTGAAATGAATCCAAATTATACAGAATTTAAGTTCCCGCAGATAAAATCTCATCCTTGGCAAAAGGTACTCTTACCGATTTTATTCACTTTAAGGCACTCTTCACATATATATATATATATATTTTTTTTTAATGTAAAAAAATGGTTCTACATTATAAAATGAATATTAAATTAATTATTTATTTTATAATTTATTATAATTTCAATTGTATATTAATATATAATATTCTTTAAAGAGGTAATTTGATTCTTAAAAATGGCTAAGCTTCTATACGAAATTATTAGGACATAATGCAAATAAATTAAAAAGACAATGAAGAAAGTCTTACAATTTAATATTAAACAGAAGATTCAACATTTTTAAAGTGTCAATGAGAAAAAAAAATTGTCTCTAAAATGAATGAGAAATATATCTTAATGTTATATAACATTTAAAGATTATTTCCCAATTATTGTCAGTGTCCAAATATAATTTTGTAATTTCTTTCTGTCGACATAATAACTGTCATTTATAAACTTGATAATATTTAGTATCAATTGAGTTCTAATTTGATTTTTTAGTGTTATTTTTACTCATTTTGTGACTAAATTCATTGAAATTAGATTTTCATAAAATAATTAAGTACATGAACGTATCATCCGAGTAATAATCATAAAGATAAATATAAATACCTAACATCATTCTTTAAGAAATTCATCTTCTCAATTATTTAATGAGAAAAAGTAAAAAATAATTTAAAAAAAAAATTTCTGTTTCTAAATTAAAGAAATTGAATCTTATTTTGTGCAATTCATTTTATTTGTGTAAATTAATTTAACAGAAATAAAAAATGATATTAAGATGTAATGAAATTAAAAATAATTAGAATTGACCTTAAATTGTTTGGATTATGTGAAATTGAAAGGTTTTTTACGGGGGGGGGGGTTTTTTTTAAATTAAAATTAGATGCTCTCTCCATTCGCAATTTTTCATTTTTCATCAAGGACACACCTAATCATGGTTTACAGTTTATGCTACAACGAATGAGCGTGCCAAAGTGTTCCACGGAGCACCAAAAGATTAGAGTAAGTGGTACATATACATTTGAAATATGTTCTTACACAATATGGCTGCCAGAAATCTTCGTGTTTTGCCGATTACAAAGGACTAACACAACAAAAACAACAAAAAAAAACTTGTAGCTGAAAAATTTCCAAATTCAATCGTAGAATTTTACATAATTTTTGTGAGCTATCGATGATTTTCTGCTAACACAAATATTCATTTAAATAATAATAATAATAATATTGCTGGGGATAAAAAAGAAAATCTATGGATTTCATATTATCAAAAAAATAAATAAATAAAAGTGTAATAAAAGTCTTTTTTTTATTATTATTTTTTTGTTCAAAATCTAGAGGCAGCTAACAGTACTAATACTAATAAATAGTCGTCTTGGCGAATGAGAACATCACTTACTCTAATGTTTCGGTGGTTTCGCAAGAAAACAGAAAAAAAAACATTTTCCTGCAATTCGACAGAGAAAATTGTTTAGAATGAAAATGAAATTTCCTAGGTGGCTAGAAAACTCATTGTATTAATTGTATTACCATTTATTATTCTCATTTTAATGATTTATGTTAATCAAATAACAATTCTACTCTCTGCATTCTTTAATTTTCCATCGAGACTCAACTAAGCTTTCTGTGAGAAATTAAACATTAATTTTTTTCATTTTTATCTGTTGTATTCTATCAAGTTGAAACACTGGAATTGAAAATTTTCCATTTTTTTCACACGAATCAACAATTTTTTTTACAGTTAAACGCTACTTTTTTTATTTTATTTTCTAAATTATATTTTTCTTCTTTAACTTTTTATTCGGTTCTTTCATTTACCAGTTTTTGTATTCATTATTTTTATCTATCAATTGATTTTCATTAAACAGGGTGTCTAACGGTAAGGGAAGTCAGAGAAATTTCTCTAAATTTATAAAAAAAATTAAAATTTTTTGTAAATTAAAAAAAATTTTTTAATCTAACAAAACTTAAATGGTTTTATCACCATTTTTACTATCATTAGACGTTAATTTATTGTTAAATATAACAATAATCATATTTTTGTCCCAAAAAGGGAGAAATAAGGTTAGTAAAAAGTCGTTATATTTTTCTCAATCCTTGTTATAGACACCCTGTTAAATAAAAACAGAAATAAATAAATTTTTATTTCTAATTGCAATGGAAAAAATTAAAGAAAAACTATTAGGACAAATTGCAGAATAAAAAAAAAAATTCATTGCACGATCAATTTAGAAAATCACTAGTGATTGTTATTCCATAAAATCCCTCATAAAAAAATGTATTTTGTAGAACTGAAACAATTAATTATCCTTTTGTTTGTGATAAAATTTCTCGTGTCAATTTAAAAATTCAAATATATATATATATAGAAATTAATAATATTCTTCACTGCAATAACAATGACATCCCAAAAAAACTAATTCGTTCTTTCGAATTATTATTTTCTTTTTCTAAATCAATTTTTTGTCAAATAATTTTAATGAATTTTTATTTTTTTTTCGCAGGTATTTAGAGCACGTACACCACCAGAAGCAATGGAACTGGTTGCTCGACTTCTCGAGTATACACCCTCATTAAGAATGACACCACTTCAAGCATGTGCGCATTCCTTTTTCGATGAGTTACGAGATCAAAATACCCGATTGCCAAATGGTCGGGAACTTCCGCCACTATTTAATTTCACCGAACAGGAATTGGGAATTCAAAAAGAATTAAATACCACTCTAATACCGTCATATATGCAAACATCAGAAACCACTGGCAATCAATCTGAGGCCACGAGTGCTGCCGCTGGGGCTAGCGGTAACTCTAGTGATAACAACGTCAACACCAATACACCTTCCATTACACAAAATACTGACCCGAGCCAATCAACAATGGCTTAAAAAAAAAAATCTCTTCATTTTTCTAACGTTGCGTGTTGCAAAGATACAATTTTTATTTCAAATAACTCCCCATCCCGAAGAAGAAGACGACGACGTCTATCTTTCGTGGAGAAAATATCCCGATTTTCCCGAAAATGTAAATTATATTGAAAAAAAAAAAAAAAATGAAAAAGAAAGAAAAACCTCAACGCCACTCCGATGCAGCGCGGTTGATATTGAGCCACCCCCGCCTGCAAATCTCAAAATTCCTTCCAATAGGATAAAAAAAAAACGCTCTCGTCTCGTCTCGTTTTGCACGCACGCCCAGCTCAACGTCAACTTGCGTGTGTGATCGGTAGTATTAGTTCAGTGTATATATATATATGAAAAACTAAAAAAAAATGGCAAGATTCAATTCATTCGAAGTCTCTAACGATAACGGCTACAAAAAAAAAAAAAAGAAAAGCGACAACTATTCGAGAATTATATTTATATAATTACTCTCTTTGAAACAGTAGTTTAACAAACAAACAAAACATACGTCGCTAAAGCAGGAATCCAGCTCTCTCTCACTGTGCGCTGGTCTCTGATTATATTCTAATGCACACACGCAAAACGCTTCGTTCGCAAAGACTGAACACTTGCGTATTTTACATCTAAATTCTACGACACTAAAAAAAAATCGAAATATTTTCTTTCGTTTCAATTTGTTTGCTTTTTATAATTTTTCAAAATTAAAGAAACTAATTCTAAAAATGAAAAACTAATTTTTTATATATTGATTAAAAAGAAGAGTTTTTAAGATCAAATGAACTCATAATTAAAATATTGTTAATGTTCTCTTTTTTTTAATGACAATTTGACACTTCAAATTTCACATCGTTTCACATAATCAAAAAATTAAAAACTTCAATTCAATTTTCATTAATTTCACTTTTGATGTCAAATTTGAATTAAATTTGTTTACAATATTCAATGTAATGTCTGTCATTTTGTTTAAAAATCTTAATCTAAAAATAATAAATTAAATTGGAAACATTTTTTAAAATTAAAATCTTAAATTTTAGGAATGACGTTTCTTTTTCAGTCTGTAACATGTTTTATCGTGTCGACTCATTAGAATATAATTTTTTTTTTATTCTTGTAAATTAGATTTAAAACAAAAAATTTTCACAATCAACTCGACGAACTTCTACTTGCATTATAGAGGAGCGATATAACTTTAAGTCAAAATTTTGCTAAACGTCTTTGAGAAAAAAAAAAAAAAAGTTGTCTCTTTATGCCTTATCTTGTACATAGACTACGAGTTTCCCCCCTCCCCTCTTTTTTGGTAGACGTGAACAATTGTCTTTTTTTTGTACATTATCCACTAGCTATGCAACCTTGATTAATCACTCGGTCTACATATCATTTTTTTTCTGGGAATAAGCAGAAGCATCTTATTTTCTTTTTTTTGTTTCAAAAAAAGATTTTACGCCTGTAGGCAATTTTTGACAACTGATGCTGAAAATTGGAAAACTTTTTAAATAGTATATTTTTCGGAATTTGTATAATTAACGTTAAAGTTAATTATTAATTAATTAAATTAATTTGTTTCTAAAAAATAAATTATACAATATCTAAATTTTGTAATTTACAAAATAATAATAAAATTAATTATTAGTATGAGATTTTTTTTATATAATAATTTTAAGCAATTAATGAATAAAAATTAATTATTGGCAATTTTTTTTTTTAATTAATGGAAAACTGTAAAAAAAATGTAAAATATTATATTATTAATTTTGACAATTAGAAATGATTTTTCAATAAAATCAACTTATTTCTCTTAAAGATTTGATAGAAAATAAAACTTTTTTTTCTTTTTTCTAAAATGTGAACTTTTTTTACTATATTTTTTTATTTTTCTCAATCAGATAGGGAAAAAAATAATTTTCTATTTTTTCTTTTTTCCGTGAGAGGAAAAAAGTAATAAAGTGAAGAAAACAGAAAAATATATTGAAGACATGGTAAAAACAAGTCGGAAAACTAAGGAGAAAAGAAAAAATAAGTGAAATAAAAATTATTTTTAAATATTTTTCCAATTTTCTACATCAATCTTTAAAGAAATTGACTGTCGCAGGTGGAATACTTTTAATAGAGAGAGAGAGAAAGAGAGAAAAAAAATAAAGTGCCAGAGTTTGTGAAAGAAAAAGAAGGCGAAAAAAATAAAAAAAAAAAAGAATGAAAGAAACTGGGTCAAAGAAGTGGAGAGATCTTAGGATTCATTTTAGATTTTTATCCATGTTGATAGATTCATTAAGATTTTAACAATTTACTTCTTTTTTTAAGTGGGCACAGCTTTTACGCAGGTTTTGTCTAAATTATTTAACCTTTCCTCCGATCGCATGAAACTTTGATTCTTTTCAAAGCTTCGCTGTATATTTTTAATCGTATAAACACACAATGTACACTATATAATTTTTTTTCTTCTTCAAAATGTCAGTCACTCTTTATCTATGACTTTTAGATCTCAAACGTACTCGCTGGAGACTTTGTGATATTAAAAAAAAAAATTTATTCATTAATATATATATATAAATATATTAATGAATTATAGATGATAAATTGCCGAAGAAAAAAGAACAATTTGAATTTGTAAAAAATGTAAAGCAAGCTGGCTTTTTATCTTAGTATATATAGTAAAATTAATTTTATCCATTGAACCACAAATATTGACGAGGAGACAATTTTGAATTTGTAAAATTAAAAGCAGCTAGCTTATTGTCTTAGTACAAACAATAACAACAAAATAAAATAAAAAAATTGATATTGATTAACATGGATTGTACAAGCGCTATAAAAAAAACACTTGAAATTCTTGTAGAATTTCAAAAGCAGCGAAAAAAAACAAATTTAATTTGAAATGGAAAGTTTTAAAGCGACGATTATATATATATATATATGGATTGAAAGAAAAAAAAAGTAGAACACACACACACACACGACTCGAATATAGAATGTTGATTATTATTATTTATCGTAATTATATGAAGTATAATAAATGAATTTACTTGATTAGTATAAATCCCTATGTACTTTATTTAAGAGAAAAAAAATAATAATAATGACGCGTGATATCGTTGTAATAAGTTTTGGCGACTGTGATAAGCCTTGAATGTTTGACCGTTTTTATTTTTTTTTTTTTTTTTTTTTTTTTTACTCATATATTTTAATATTCAAGGCAATCACCAACGAGCATCGCAGAACAAACCGAGAAGACGACTTATTTTCGATCGAGTCGATCGGCGTTTTTTTGCTTTAATCAAAGCAAAGCTTGGATTTCACATAACTGTAATTTGTTAGGTAGAAACCAATATTTGGGACAATGGGGAGAAATTGAAGGGATGGGGCGGGGGTTTTTTTGTGGGGGAAAGGGGAAAGAGCCCGTGTAAAAAAAACCGAAAGTCTATATATATAAATACTTTATATATAACTGAATTAAACATATATATGAAGATAATTTTAATAATAGTAATTATTAATTATAGAGACGCCGCTGTTGTGTAAAGAATTAAAATAATAATAAAAAAAAAAAAAAAACGAAAATGCGATTTAGAGAAATTAAATAATATTTCCACACTGCTCGCGCGGTTTTCGTTGCCTCCGTTTCACAATCTCCGACTCTCCTTCGCTCCACGTCATTTAGCTTCTACTTCTTAAAAAAAAGCAAATAAAAAACCTAGCTAAATGTAAGTGTAATACTTGTTTATATCATTAATAAATTAATTAAAGTTATAAATATATATATGTATAAATATATATGATAATATAACATATGTGCGCATATTATTGTGTACATGTGTGATTACCTTGTGTATGACTGTGCATATGTATATACAGTTAAATTGTTCGTGCTGTAATTAAAAAGCTTAAATTTTCAAAATTACACCCCTACGAAGTAAATCAGGAATTTTTATGGTTCGGCGATTTCTATTATTATTATTATTATTATTATTATTATTATTATTATTATTTCTAATACAGTAAATAAAAAAATAATGATAATAATTAGTAAAGTTCATTAATAAACAAAATCTTGTAAATTTTTAAAAATGATTTCTACAGCTATTTTAAATCAGCTTTTTCTAAATATGAATTTCAAAGTAAGAAGAAAAAAATGAAATATTAATAAATTATTAAAAATTGATTTAAAGAATTTAAAATTCATTTTTATAAATAAAAAAATCCTGATTCATTTCTTTGTGCACATGTCTTCAATAAGAGAATATTTGAATTTTTATTTTTCATTTTTAAAGAACTCACTGTTTTTTTTAATTCTAATAAACACATTGGGCTTTAACTTTAACTGTCACTATTCAGATATTTCAAAATAAATTTCTTTTCACTCGTGTCATTGACGTAAAAGATGATTTACGTCATTTATAATTAACGACAGTAATTTCGAAACAGAATTAATATTAATTAATAATTCCTGCGAAATGATTATTAATATTTTTTAATTTTTATCTTTTGATTTTCAATTTTTTAAAAATGTTTTTCTTTTTTAATGTGCATGTTAAATTCAATTGTTTCAATGTTTTTTAAAACAACAGGAAAAAAAGAATTTTGTGAAAAAAAAAATTTTCAAAATAACAAAACATTAAAATTGAAATAAGAAAGTTTTCAAATCGAGAGATGAAAATTGCTTTTCAACTACGATTTTCAAATAAAACGTAATTTCTATAAAAATAAACTTTCACTAAAAAACCAAACTTTAAAAAATTGAACGAAAGTTTTCAGAGCTTTTATAGAAGGAAACGAATTTCATATCGAAAGAAAGACAGAAAATATTTTAAAAACCATTTTTTAAGGAATTTTTGAAATAATTAATCAATATTTGTTTCTAACTTTGACTTTTTTTTTTGTTATTTTACCGATGAATATTATAAAGTTAACGTTTCAATAGACCAAAGCGAATTTTCATTGCGAATAAAATGGGCCACTTTTAAGTACATAATATATATTTATATAGATAAACAAAAGGAAGTCTGGGAAATTTGAGAACGTGAAAGACCTCGATAAACTTATACGAATCGATAAAAAAAAAAAAAAAAAAAAAAAAGAGTTGTATCTGTAAATAATATACGAAATTACTAAAATGCATAAAAAAATAAGTGCTATCGGAAAATAACTCGAAAACTTAGATGTAATTACTTTTACGATTAAATTTAAACGTGTAGGAAAAAAGAAAATGATTGCACACAGATCAAGATTCACTCGATGTTAATATGCAATTTTAGAGACCAATTTACCTGTGAGGTATAAAATAAAAATTAAATAAAAACTAAATAAATAATAATTTCACACATTCTGAGTTCCTCGCACTGTCGATTATAATATCGTTTATTCTGTGTACATAGGCTAACAAAAGAACGATGGCAGATTTAAAGAAAAAAACAAAAAAAACAAAAAAAAAACAAGCACTTTAACATAAAATGTAGACTATAATAAACACTATAAGTAGGCAAAGTCAATGGCAGCCATATCGTAAAAATTGCGAAAAATAATATTATAAGAGATATTAAAAAGGGATGCAAGTTGTAAAAAAATATTCGTTTTCTTTAAAAAAAAGAAAAAAAACTCAACAGTAACGTCATATTTTTTACTCTTGTTATTAATTTACTTATTGTTATTAATTTTAATTTTATCATAAACTGGAATCGATTACATTTTTCGACAATTATTTTGTAAATCGATAGAATTTTACTTTAGAATTATTATTATTATTATTATTATTATTATTATTATTATTATTATTAAAATTATTATTAAAATTATCGCAAAATTTTAAATTTAATTTATTACAAATTTTGATACACAAAATTTTTTCGAAAATAAAATTAATTTTTCAAAACAGAATAAATATTGGAAGATTATATTTTAAAATTAATTATTACGTTAATAAGTTTGAATTTACAAATAATAATTCAATAATTAAATTAAGAGTGATTATTGAAATTTATATATAAATGCAATTGAATAATTAATTTTTTTTCTTAGAAGATTAAAATTCCTTCGAACAATTAGTAATTTTTAAAGAAAAAAAAAGAATTTAATTTCTATTTTCGAAAAAAAGCGTCCATGGTTTTTACTGCAATATTATTTTTTATTATATGATGATTTTACTAACTTAGTGAATAATTTGTTAATTAATTTGCTGTTAAATATTGTAAGTGTATAAGCGAATTTACTATAATTTATTATTATTTTAAAAGAAAAATTGCAAGTTAAATTATTTACTTGTTTATTAATAATTAACTTGTCAATTTAGTGGAGACTGATAATAAATAACAAGTTAATTATATAAAAACTCAAATGTTAGCAAATTTAATTTGGTGAATTTAGATTAATTATTATAATATTAATAGTAATTATTGTTTTATAATAGAAATGTAAAATTATAATTGTAAAAAATTGTTTAAAAACTATTTTCCCTCTTTATTATTATTTTATTTTTCAGAAGACTACATATATTATAAGGATATTTTTTAATATATGTATTTGTCTTATTTTTTTGTTTGATTTTATAAAATAGAAAAACAAATCAAAAAAATTTGAATGAATTATATTGTCGATTCCAGTCCATGATTCTTGCCTATACTCTTTTTTTATATTATAATTGTTTACAAAACAAAATTGTTTAAAATAATAGTGCAAAAAGTGGAAAAATATTGACATTATACAATATAAATAAAAAACCGAGAATTTTCATTATTAATAATTTGATTTACAAAATTAAGAGTTTTCAAAATTATTTCCAGAATTTAAGTTATAAAAAAATTATTTCGAAAATTTAAATTAGTAAAAACTAATTTCGAGAATAAAATTTTAATGTAAAAATGTTGTTCTTTTACTTAATTCTACTTGTTTTTTTTTCATTTGGAATTCTTTCATTTGATTATAAACATTTTTTTACTTATTTACAAATAAATAATTGAAATATTTTATTATTAATTTTGAATTTTTAAACTTTTTGAAGGGAACAGAACAGAACAGCCATCACAATAAGTACCGAACGTATATAGATAAAGATTAAAATTCGCAATCACCCCCTAAAAACTACTCGTACCTATGTCTTTTTAAAATAAGTAATCGACCAAATTATTTTCAATTTTTAATAATTTTATTGAGTATAGATGCGAATGGTCGATTAAAATATCAATGTAGATTAAAAGGGGAAATTTAAAAAGAAAATAATGAAAACAATCTTTTTTGACAGTGTGAAAAATATTTCACACGATTTTTTGACTCAAAGAGATAATCAAGTTTTGCGATTAAAAAAATGTTTAAAGCATTATGATCTATGGATCATACGCAGTGCGAGGCGGTAAATTTAAATTTCCAAATTGCCAATTTCCATTTTTAAAAGACTAATTAATGTTTCTATATTTAACAAACAATTCAAGACCGCCAAAACAAGAATATAATAAAGAAAACAATTTTTTTTTTAAATTATTTTGAAAAAGAAAAATATATTTCAAAAAATAAAGAAATATCAAAGAAAAATATAAATACAGAAAAACAGAAAATTTTTGAAAGCCTAATATGCCATGAGAAATAATGACCTAGAGGAATTTTCAGTTAAAAAAAAAAAATCTAATGTGAAAATTATCGCTTCTAGTTCTAAAATACAAACAAGGAATCGATTCCTTGATCGAAATGGCGCCCATATTGTTGAACGCACTATATTAAAACAAAAATACAAGGGAAATAACGAAAACAAAACAGATTTTTGAAAACCAAACAATATATATGTGACAAATGAAAAACGACGAACTATTTAATAAAAAAAAAAAAAAAAATGTTTTCAATATCAGACGAGAAAGAATATCCAAGTCGAAGTAAATCTTGGAAGAATCTTTACTCATGATTGTACGATATTAGATAAATTGTTTAATACCTATATAATTAGCGACGCAGTGAAAGAAATGATCACAAAGTAAAAAAAAAAAAAAAAAAAATAGTCGCTACGAAAAAAGAAAACAAGAAGCCTATATGAGATAAATTACGTATGTATGAATGTGCATATAAGTATGAGAGAGAAAGAGAAATTAGCGAATATTCGTGGAGAGAGAGAGAGCGAGAGAGAAGTACACATATGGTGTTGTCCATTTTTAATTTTGGACATATTGAAAACTCCATAAGGAAAAAAAAATGATCGAATGAACGAAAATATCTAAAAAGAAAGATATACATACACAAATACATACATAAACATGAATATAATATATAGATAAAGAGACATGTGTATGATTATGTGTATGTGTATGTATAATTATATATATAATATAATATAATTACACTAACATGCGAATATTGTAGCAAATATTATTAATTATATGATTACTATTATTATCATTATGACGATAATTATGATTATTACTGTCATTCTACAAATATAAAATGATTATAAATACCTATAAACTGTTTTCTCTATTTTTATTTGATTTTTACATATTGTTAATTTTTTTTTATTTTTTAGCCTTTTCAAACTGAACTCTTTTAATTATCACACACATACACACATATAATAGTTCGTACAATATTTGTAGCATACTATTTGAATGTGCGTTAACGCGAGAATCGATTGCCTCCGTTATGGAGTTGCTATATATAATAATAATAATAATAAAAATAATAAAAATAACAATACAACCATTATTACTGTACATTTTTGTGGTTTATTTAACAATAAAATATTAACAATAACGTTATTCTAACTGCGTCTATTATCCGTCCAATATTAAAAAAAAAAGAAAAAAAAAGATTTTTTTTTAATTTACATTTTTATAATTAGTAAGTATTGTTAATTAAATATTAATTTATAATAATTAAAAACAATTTTTGATTTAAAAAATGAGAATTCATAATACATTAAGTATATCTGAATTGAATACACTATTTTAAAAAAATCACTTTTTTTGTGGGGCTTTCTAATTTTATATTGCATTAAAATATACACGTACTTATCTGCTAATTATACACAGCCTTAAGTAAATCCCCACTTTTTTTTCTAAATTTATATAAAATATCTATATGGCATGGCGTGTTTGAAATTTAACACAATATAACAAAAATATATTATACAACGCTTTTGAAAACGTTAGAGTAATTTTTTAAATTTAGTTTTCAGAGTCAAAACTTGTCAAATGGGATCTCATTTATATTTGAATTCAAAAATAATCGATATTTACAATTTGAAAAAAAATTGAATGTATTATTATTAGCAATATTATTTATTCCCATAAGTTTTAGTGATCATATCATTTCATAAGGTTCGACTGTATTATTTAAAAGTTTTTTTTAAAAAAAAAAGTCTGTACCTATTTTGGAGATGAAATTTTTTTTTTTTGCGTTTATATTTTTCCTAGCCAAGAAGAACTTTTCTTATCATTGCACCGCTGACCATTTCTTCCTCGCCATCACGTGGATCAATGCATTTACTGCTACAAAGATATTGCAAAAGTGGCAAACGATATTTACCACAAAAATCGACAAATTTCACATGTTCCACTCGATTATCGAAAAATATTCCTAGAGGAAAATATTAATTAAACGTATAATAAAATTAAATATTTTCTCAAATTCCAGGGAGAATTAAATTTAAATTTATTTTAAATAATTATATTATATAAATTTCATATTTGTATATAGTATAAATAATGTTCAAAATATGATTGAAAAATGAAAATATTAATTAATGTTGGGCGAATTTTTATGAAAATTTTGTCTGTATTCATTTTGAAAAAAAAAACATTTCAGAGAGTTGACACATTTTTTTACAGATAAAATATGGGAGTATTAAAAAAATTAATTATTAATAAAAAAACTAATTTTCCATAAAAATAATAAATTAAATATTAAGAAATATTTATTTACCTTGGCAATTAACATTGACACATCGATGACCACTGTTCAAGTATTCAATTAAATTTCTCGGTATACCTTCGTCATCGTATGTAATATCATTACTTTTGACAACTCTCGCTGCCAATTCTAATAACGCTGGTGGATCATGGGTCATGTCTGATACAAATCTCACAACTAATGGATTATCTCGTAGAGATAGCTGCAAAAATATATTAAATTAATAATTGTATATATATTACAATAAAAAAAGAATATAAAAATAGTTAATTTATTTATAGAATAAAAATATTTAGTAAAAAAAAAAAAAATTTTAAATGAATTTCTTAAATAAATAAATATATAAAATATTGATAATTTATTTAGGGCAATACCTCTGTGAGATTTTTAAGAGTTATTATTTCAGTCGGAAGTGTTCGCAAATGATTTTTATGAAGTGATAGTGACTTTAAATTCTTCAAATTTGATATTGAACTGGGTAGACTTTCCAACATATTATCACAAAGAACTAAAGCTTGCAGAGCTGTACATCTGCCTAAAGTTGATGGAACTTCCATCAATCGATTTCCTCCCATGGATAATACTTGTAATCTAAAAGTAAATTAAAAGAAATAAATTTAAAAAAAAAAAAAAAAAATTCCAACAAAATTCTTATTTTGGAAATTTTCATCTGATTCACAAGAGTACGGAAAATATGAAATAGTTGGAATTCCCATGGGAATTTCTGATAGATTTACAATGAAAAATATTTAGAATATTTTTTACATTTTTTTTTAAACGATAAATATTTACTTGACAAAAAAAAATGTATTCTTAATAAATAAATTTATAATAATTCCAAATAAATAAAATTAATTGAATTTTCCTATAAATTTTTCTTTATATTAAAATATTGAATTGTGAAAAAAAGAAAATGAATATAATTTTTTTTTTACCGTTGCAATTTCCATAGATCCTTATTAATTTCAGAAATACAATTTCCACCGAGATAGAGAAATTTCAAATCTACAAGATCAAGAATCTGTTCTGGAAATTCTGTGAGTCTATTTCCACTTAAATTGAGTTCCCTTAAACCCAATAAATTTTCAAAGCATTTTGGCAATGAATTATTTGTTAAATTATTATTCTTAGCAATGAGACAACTAATTGAAAGATCACCAAGAAAATGTGGTAATTCATTTAGTCCACAATTTGAAACATCTAATGTTGTCAAATTAATAAATCTTACAATACTATAGGGAATTGTACTCAAACGATTTTGATACAAAAGCAATGTATCCAAATTTTCAGGTGAATTTGTACAAAGAAAATGTTCATTCAACACATTTGTGTCCAACATCAAATAAGAAAGATCTAAAGTTTTGCTGCCAGATTCCGAGTCCGAATCACTTGATGTGTAACATTCCATTTTGTCTGTAAATAAAATTAAAATATTTAGAATAATTCATTTGTATTTTATTTTATATATACATGTATTTCTCATTATAATTTAGGTTTTATTTTTAATGTCTAACTTGCACAGTGTTCAGAGAGTAAATTAATATTATTATTTACAATAATTACAATGACGCAATACTTTTATGTTTCTTTTTTCTGTAATTCTTTAAAAATACATTACTATAAAGACTTAACACTTGAAACGACTAAATTAATTTTCATCACATTGGAATTTTTTTTTTTTTTTAAACAAAAAGATTAAGATAAGAAAAAAATAGAAATGACAAGAAATATCAGTTTCATAACGCACCCTAAAGTATGATTACAATGGGTTTTTTTTTTAAATATGTTTTTCGAACTGGAAATTCCGAGTGTTTTTGTAAAATAAAAAGTTGGAATTTTATAAATCAATATAAATACGTGAAATAGAAACAATTGAGATAGATTTTAAGCTCGCAAAGAATATGTAACAATTATTGTCATTTATCTTATCAGTTCAATTTCACAATAAATACAATTTTTTCCTGCTTCTTATTAATGATTCTTTATTCAAAGTAATAATGTATTATAATGTTAAAATATTTTCTGAGCATCATCTTCGATATATTTCCGTAAAATTTTTAACTTTTTTGAATAATTATAACTCTAATTATAGTTTTATTTATTTAAGTTTTATATTGATTTAAAATTTGATAAAAATTTAATATAGTCTAGAGTTAAAAAAAGAATTTCTATTACGCAGTTGAAATTACACATTTAGAAAGTTATTTACGTAATTAATTTTTCACCTTTTGGAGTAATTTTAATTTTAGTTTTTCCAACTTTTTTTTAAAAAAAACTTTGAGTAATTATTATTTATTGCGTAAAGTTATGTAGTACTAGTTTTTATTTCAAATTTTTTCTTGAAATTCCACTTATTTAAACAAATTATTATCATTTAATTAAATCTAATAGTCAGCGTTACATTGAATAAAGTAGATTTTGTTAAAAAAAATGTTATTTAGTGCCTTATCAATAATTTTTAATATTACTTTTTTCAGTATTTTTTTTATTAATAATAACTTTAATTTATAAAAATGAGAAAATTATTTTAATTTTCATATTTCTTGGAAATAATTTTTATTTAAAAAAAGTGTTTTATTAAAAAATTTACCTAAAATTATATCGCAGACACCTGTTTTATTTGATCAGTTATGTACACTTAACGGAAAAATTTACACTATAATGAATATAAATACTAATCTTTAATTGAATAAAAAATGAAATTTTTAAAGAGAAATTATTTTTTTTCAAAAATTAATACAATTATTTTATTACTGGTACCGGGAATACAATATGAATCGACACTTCAGACCCCCCATGATAAATTGACTGTCTAATGTGATGCCTGACTGGAAACTAGCAAACTCTACGCTTCGTTATCAGTTACATTTTTAAGTGGGGCTTTATTTTTAAAGATTTCCCTCTTAACCATTTAAAAGCATTTGTATCATGTTTAACAATTCACATATATATTTCGCTGCCTCATTATTATAAACAAAAAATACTATTATATTAAATTCATGTCATTCCATCTCTTTATTCTTTCGAATTTCGATTTTTATGTTTTGTTATTTCGCATTTTTTAAAACAATTTAATTCTGTAATTATTTATTTTATTAAATTTTTAAATATTTTGAACACACATCGATTAATCTCCAGAAAAAAAAATGAATTGATGTTTAAAATATAAAAATAATATTAATAATGTCCACTGGAATAATACAGATACATACTAATTTTCAAGAAAAAAAATGTTTAACTTATAAATAATTCTTCAGAAAATATTTCTTAAACATCGTCACAGCTGGAATTTTTAAACAAATGCACCGTTTTTAAATATATGATTATTTGTTTAAGAAAAGTGAAAATGATTTTTTTAAACAAATAACCATATTTAAAAAACGGTGCACTTGTTTAAAAATCCCAGCGGTGACGATGTTAAAAAATATTTTCTATGAAAAAATAATCCATCATTCATTTGAATCGGATCATTTTTACAAAATTTTAAGGAATGAAGTTAAATTAATTAAAAAAAATTTTTTTCTTGAAAATTGTCATCTGTTCTTCCAGCGAGTATTATTAATATTCTTTATTAGTCTTTAAAGACTAAGAAATCTTGCCTTGAAGAATCCATCTGCAAAATTTAATTGGTTTTGTCATCAAAGAGCATTTTTTGAAATTTGTGGTTTGATAGACGTCTCAATGCGTATTCTCTTTGATATTAAACTTGAGAAATAGATGCTCTTTCTTGAGAATAAGGACAGGTCGTCTTACTTGTATTCCAGGAGTTTGAAAAATATCAGAACCTTGTTTTGAACCTGCAGATCCTGGCCTTCAGCCGTATTTGCTTAATATGAAGTTGCCTTTGTCCATTTTAAAAAATAAAAATATTTTGTAAATTAAAAATGTATTAAACTTTATTAAAATAATAAAATATTTTTTAAAATTAAATTTTTTAATGAAAATAAAGTGCAAAATTTTAAAATTTGTCTAAAAATTTATTTTATCTCTTTGATATTTAGGTCAGAAATCCTGAAAATGTGCACGCTGTCAATGTAGGAAAGCACGAAATATAGAAAATGATGAATATATCTAATAATTGAGTCGACTATAAATAAACAATTTATTTCTAATTCAATTGTAATAAAAAATAATACTAAATAGTGTAAATAAATAATCATCATAATAAAAACAATTATTTTAGTTTGTTGACTTTTGACAATGGTATATAAAGGTATCTTTTCAAAAAGCAACAATTGCCACAGCAACAAGATTTGAATTGGTTAAAAAATGGTTACAATTAACCAATTAAAATCTTGTTACTGCGGCAAACTGTTGTTGTATGAAAAGGCACCTTTATAACTTGCAGACTGTCAAAAATGGCGCCTGGTGTACGTCAAAGACAACTCTTTTATGTTAAAAAAAAGGATCAAAAGAAAAATAATGCCCGAAAATTATCAAAGTTAGTAATATAAAAATATTGAGAAATAAAAATATTTCTATTCATTATCATTTAAAGTTAATTCATAAAATTCATAAAAATTACCTTGTATGCCGGCTAACCTCTATTTATGTGTTTCTGTATATACTTATCAAATATTAACTTAAAGAATTTATAAAACATCTGTTCATTTTAGATCTGAGGAATCATCGGATATTCGCCTTATATATCCTGGTGGTGATACAGCATTTAAATTGTTATTATCAGCTAGATTTTGCTCCGCAATGTGGAGTCATATAACAGACTGTGATGAAACATACAATTACTGGGAACCTGTAAGTATATAGTTTTATATTTAAATTTTGTGAGAAAATTTAAATTTAAAATTACTTCAATAGCAAAAAAAAAAAAAAAAAAAATGTCAGTTTTCATTTAATGAAACAGAATAATTAATTTGTTTTACAGAGTCATTATTTACTTTATGGTACTGGTCAACAAACATGGGAATATAGTCCTCAGTATGCCTTAAGATCATATATCTATTTATTAATTCATGTGGTACCGGCAAAATTATATCATTATTTATTAGAGCCAAATCCTGTTCTTGTTTTTTATTTTATACGCTGTCTATTGTCTGTGGGCTGTGCACTTTCAGAAGTTTATTTCTACAAGTGAGTTATAATTTTTTATTTATTTTATAGTACATTATATTTTTATTCTTTACTAAAATAAAATTATAATTGTAAAATTTAGATGATGATTTTTTTTAAATTTTATATAATATTTTTAATAAATTGGAAAATATTTATAAGAAACAAAAAAAATTTTTCTTAAGATAATATTACAAATTACTTAAATTAACTACATAAAATTTATTTCTTGGAAAAATTTAATAGCAAGTCATTATGAAATTATAGATTGTATAAGAAAATTATTTTACTTCTAATTGATAATCTGTTTATCTTCAGAAACGTCTGTCGAGAGTTTGGAGTTCATGTTGCTCGCATGACACTTGTATTTCTATTATTTAGTTCAGGAATGTACATATCGAGTGCAGCATTTTTGCCATCTTCATTTTCAATGTATGTTTTACATTTAAAATGTTTTTGTAATTAAATCGTATTTTATAAGTAATTTTTTTCAAATTTTGATGAAAAAAAAAATAATTTCTTTTGTCACTTTAAAATACAATGTTTACAGGTACTTGAGTACAGTTGCCATATCAGCGTGGTATGCACGAAAATACGAATTTGCCATATTTGCAACTGCAGTTTCGGCTTTACTTGGTTGGCCGTTTGCTGCATTACTTGGGTAAATTTATACACAATTTTAATAAAAAAAAAATAATTTAAATACATTTTTTTCGAAATCAATTCAATTTAAAAAAAAGGTGTAAAAGAACATTTCTTTATTTTTTGTAATCAAATGCAGACTTCCAATTGCCATGGATATGCTGATACATCGAAGAGAATGGACTAAATTCATCAAATGGTCATTGTTTTCCGCTGTAGTTATTTTATTACCAATGATTTGGGTTGATTCGATGCACTTTGGAAAACTTGTTATAGCGCCACTTAATATTGTTATGTACAACATTTTTACTCAACATGGACCAAATATTTATGGGACTGAGCCATTTAGTTTTTATTTTATAAATGGTTTTTTAAATTTCAATTTTATTTTTATCGGAGCTTTGATTACTCCCTTTTTATTGGTAATTTATTCTATTTATTTACATTATAAATAATTTATTACAATATAAAATAAAAATTATTAATAAAAATATATATTTAATTTTAGATTTTAGCTTGGGCTGTTGTTCCCGCGAAACCTCGACACAGTTTATGTTTACCTTATTATTATTCACTAGCTCCACTTTATAGCTGGATTGTCGTTTTTTTTCTGCAATCGCACAAAGTGAGAAAAATTTAAAGAAAGAATTATACATATATACATATTATTTATTTGTTTTAATATGGTATATTTATAAGTGAAAATTTTGATTTTTCAGGAGGAACGCTTTCTTTTTCCGATATATCCCATGATTTGTTTGGCGGGGGCAATTTCACTGGATATTTTACAAAAATTGTATTTCTTTGTTCGGACAACATTAAAGCCACTTCCTGCTCAAAAACGAAACACTCATTATTTACAATTTACTCCGCATATCACAATTGCAGCGATATTGATATGTGGACTTATGGGATTATCAAGAACCTTTGCATTACATCGAGGTAAAGAAAATATTAATTTTGCAAAAATATTTTAACTAAGTAAAAAAATTGTAATTATGGATAAATAAAAAAAAATGCTATTTTTTTTACAAAATATAGGTTATTACGCGCCAATGGAAGTAATGATGGAGGCTAATAAATTAGGAATGGAAGGATTGGTTTCGAAGGATGTTAACATTAATTTTTGTGTGGGAAAGGAATGGTATCGTTTCCCAAATTCCTTTTTCTTTCCATCTAACAAGTAAGTTTTTTTTTTGCCAGCGAAAATTCTATTTTAAAATAGTATCCACATGAAAAAAAAGATTTTATCGACAAATTAATTTTAGCTGGAAACTTCAATATTTAAAATCAGATTTCAAGGGACAATTGCCTCAACCTTATTTAAATCATGAAAATGCTACGAGTATTATTCAACCAAATTTCAATGATATGAATAAAGAAGAACCATCACGATACGTAAGTTTGTGGAAAATTACATTTATTTTTTTCATTTTTAAACTCTTAATTCTTTAGACGAAGCAAAAAACCTTTTTTTTTTTTAAAGAAAAATAATTCTTCCTTTTTCATCATATTTATTATCATAAATTATTCAGTTCGACGTAGAAAGATGTCATTTTATCTTTGATTTGAATCTTGGCACCGAGCCAAATTGGGAGAGAGATTATTCTCAACAGCCAGATAATTTTCTAGTCATTAAATCATCTGAGTTCTTAAATACCGCCAAGTGAGTTAAACAGTTATAATTATTATTATTATAAATTTAATTTAATTAATATAAGGGAAAAAAATAAATAAAATAAATAAATAAAATAATAAATAACTAAATTAAAATTGTTTTTAATTTAAAATAAATTTTGTTTCAGATCACATCCATTGTTTCGAGCATTTTACATTCCATTTGCACCGAAACAAATGTGCACTTATGCATCGTACAATTTATTACAAAGTACAAAATTCCAATTGACCTCTTCGTCAAAAGTTAAACCAACAAAAATACTATAAACTGCACAATGATCGTAAATTTATAAACATTTGGATGTGTACATTAAAAAAAAAAAGGGGGGGGGTGTTGACAAACAAAATGCAAGATGTATCATTTAAAGGTACATATTTGCTGTGATTATGATTAAAAAAAATAATTGAACGTGTTATATTACGTGTTACATTAAGTCAACTTGTCCTTTTGTAATTTAAAAAAAAAATTTTATATCAACTGTGATTTTTTTGTACGTCTTTTTAAAATGTAGATTATTACAAAAAAGATCTGAAGTTAAAAAAACAGTTTATATCATTTAAAAGATATGAGTCATTCCAGTAAATGAGAATCAAGTATATTTATTTTCATATTTGCAAAGCAAATACATATACAATTTATTTTGCGTATTTTAAAAATTTCGCTGTCGGTCGCTAGTTCCTGCATTCTATTGAGTAGCAAAGTATTAAAATATTACTTAAAATCCTGGTCCAGCTTGAATAACATTGAACGCGCGTTCAATTTTTGCTCATAAAAATCAACAACAACCATCAATAATCTAATCAGTCTGTTCAATTAAATCATTTCACGATAACTCAATATTCATCCACAGTTGTAAATAAAAGAATTTTCAACACTTCTAAACTAAAAACAATATTAATAAAAATGAGGGCTTTTAAAAAACCTTAATATAATTTTTTTTATCTCACATGTTAATTAATTTAATTAATTTTTTTTCGTTATAGAAAAGACAGTATAATATTTTTTTCTCAAATCCATAAAAAAAATTTAGTCCAAATGTAAATAAATAACTTGCTTTAATATGCAAAAAAAAATTTCGAAAAAAATTCTGAAAAAGAATAATTACACCTAGTCATATATAGTCAAATGGTTGTCATTTACCCATTTCTTTTTTCTTTTGATAAGCTATTTACACATTTAATTCGAGTGTTGTAATTGTTACTCACAATATTTTATATAATATACCGCAGCTGCATTCTTTTTTTTTCATTTTTAAAAATCGAACATTATTTTACATATTTAAATTAATGACTATCTTCTGATGGTCCAGAGAGGATCTAACTGACTCAAAGGATCTATTACGACGTCAGATTTTTCCTGTGAAATGGAAGGAATACTTTGTGGTGTATTTGGCCTGGCCGATGATGTGGGCTGTCCTCCTAAATATATTATATTTAAATTTTAAATTAAAAATTGAATTAATTTTTAAATTATTCAATTTTGTTTCGAGAATTAAATCAATTATTAATTACATTGAAATTAGGAAAGTTTTTATAAAAAAAAAAAAAATGTTTGAAAATGCATTATTTTTCATACCGTGTTGAATCCCTGATCCAAAATTATGGAGAAAATCATCAGAAGGATGATGACGAGTCTTTGTCATACTTTTTCCCTTATTTTTTTTTATTTCTTCAAAACACTCAAAAGTCGAGCGAGTTGATGATAAAATGCCTCCTGTAAATTTAATACATTTAAAATTTTTATTAAACAATAAAACACTTTTAACAATAATAATAAACAAAATTTTAATAATTTTACTCTATCATCAAAGAGGTTTACGTTCTTAAACAATAATTTTTCTATTTATTGTAAAATTAAAATTGATTTTGAATTGGAAATTAAAAAAATTATCAACCATCATTAAATTTAATAATTGGATAAAAAGAAAAATTTTAACATACTTTTCATTAATGTATCTTGAGCGTGATAAAGAACCATTCGATAGCCGAATAACAATGAATCTTTGTCGACTAAACCTTTGCGAAATTTGACAAGACTCGAAAATACCAAAGGTACATCAACTATTCCGTGACCAGCTCTAACATTACAAATTGCGGCCATTGCAATTAAAAATAATCCACTGAGAGTTCCACCGACGAGACAATGAACGATTATTGGTTTTGGAGAACAATGTCTCAATGCTTGTTCGGACATAACATCAGTTGCAAAAGCAAGCAATGAACCAGGCGAGCTTGGAAAACCACTGCAAACAATTTTTTTTTTTTTTTTTTATCTAAATGTATTTATTTATTGTGTTTAATAAAGAATTAATTTATGAAATTTTCAAAATGAAAATTAATTTTTCTTAAAGAAAACAATAAAATTAAAATATGTGTCCTGACGCGGTGAAAGGGACCTTATGGTATAATAGCAAATTGTACTTTTGAATGTTCATAATAAAAAACGAATTGAACAAAATAATTTCTAGTTTTTGGAAATGAAAGAGCAACTCAAATAATTTGATTTCCAAAAATTAGAAATTATTTTGTTCAATTCATTTTTTATTATGAACATTTAAAGTACAATTTGCAATTAAACCATAAGGTCCCTTTCACCGCGTCAGGACACATATATAGAAACTTACTTAGTTGGCCAAACAAGAAATTGCATATGTACAACTACCCTTTCCATTTTTTGTCCAGATCGTGAAAGAGATATAATTGTTTGAATGTAAGTTGCATGATTAAATCGATTTTTCATTTTTAGTGTAATATCTCCGAATACTAAATTCTTCTCTTCACTTGTTGGCCAATAGACATCGCCGCTTAACTGAAAATAATATTAAAAATATATAAATTACAAATCATAAATGCAAAAAAGTAAAAAAAAACAAATAAATCTAATATAATAAATATTAATTGTCATAAAATAATAGATAATACCTAATGAAAGCAAATTCACATTATTATTAATTAATTTTTAATAAATCATACTGTTAGTAGCTTTGAAGAAATAGTGCCAACTAAAATACCTGCAAATCAGAGGCCAAACATGCAATAACTTCGGCCTCTTGATCCCAAACCATAATCCAAAATGTTTGAAATTCATCAATTCTTGGAGCCTGAGTAATGATAAATGCTGCCGGAGTCCATTGAGTTACATCTTTTACAAATGAAGCATTTATATAAGAATGCATTTCCACTCGATTTGTATCGTATGGAATGCAATCAATATTTCTATTTGTTGCAGAATTAGCCAACGCGACAGTAGAGCTTTGTTTCTTGGCTTCCCTATCCTAAAAAATAAATGAAGAGAAAAACAAATCAAAATTATTTCTCAAAAAAAAAAAAAATAATTTTCCATTTAAACATAAAATTTAAACATTGTACATTAAAAAAATTTTTTTTTAATAAACTATTAATTTTACCTCAAATTCTTTAACTTCCTTCCATTTGATATCAATATTTTTAGCACCGCTCAACGTTATTACCAACAGACTATCGACAAATTTCTCATATTTTTCAATATCGATAAGAAATTTTTGTAAAATAGTTGGCTCTCCAAGTGGATCTTTTTTCGGTTGTACATCCAAATACCATGTGTCCCAAACAATTTGTAAATTTTCATTTTTATCATCCATTGATAATTTTGAATCCTTTCGAGTGAGAGGTACTTTTTCTGGTGTGCCATCAAAAGTTTTTAATTCATTTTTTACTTCTTCCTTTTCATCCTTCAATGGAACTGCAGGTAATAGTGGTGCATGATTAATTGTAATATCCAAATCAGAGAGAAGATCAACATTAGATTTTGGTCCCATTGATGCTGGTGGTTTATTGTTTACAGTATTTTTCTCAATTGTTTGGGATTTTATTTGCGTTTCATTATATGTCACATTAGAATTGCCTGTAAATTAAAGAATAAAATTAAATGTTAAAATTCAATACAAATTTTATATTTACAAATAATTTTTTGGCTGTTTCTATTTCGCCCGCTCGGGCGAACTAATTTATTTCTGTTATTTCGCCCGTCGCGGGCGAAATAGATACGACTGTGTGAACTGGCTATTTCGTCCGTCGAAATGAATGTGTTTTAGAAGACGGGCAAAATAAGAAAAATAGATTATTTCGCCCGTTCAAGATAAAATCGAGTATCTGGAAGACGGGCGAGTATATTATTTCGTCCGTGAAATGTTTAAACAAAAACGGGCGAAATAATCAAAATACAATATTTAGCCCGCTTGGTATAAACAGCTGTTGTATATTTCAATTTACAAACTAAAATTATTTTAACTTTTATTTTGCAATTTATGTTAAATATCATATATTTGATAAACAAATTTGATGGTCTCATTAATTTTTTTGTGTTTCGATAAAAAAAAGGGTTTTTCTGATTTGTTTCTCAGCAGAATCATGGTTTTATATATCAATGTGAGATTATACTCCGTATAGTATATTCTTTAAATATTGAAAACGACGGTGCGTTGTTTGAAAATCTATTTGGTATCGAAAGTAGTTCATATGACATTCTTTATTTTGATTGTCTTCAATTTTATTTACTCGTTGAATTTAGAGATGCAAATATACAAAAATTTCAGAAATAGTCGATTTTTGAATTCTTATTTAAATTACAAAATTAAAATCCACAATTTTTATTACCAAAGTTTAATAAACAAAATTTAAGAAAATTTTTTTTTCATTTTTCATGAAAAAAATTTTTTAAAATGATTTTTTCAATTTTTAAGAAAAAATTTTTTGCAATTTTTTCGTCAACAATTTTTAAAAGAAAAATTTATAAAAAATATTAAAAAATATTATTAATTATTTGAAAAAATATTAATATTTTTAAATCGGTGACGATCAATTTTAATTGTTTTCGACTTCAACATCGTAATTTTAATTAGTTAAATTTAATAATTATAATTTATAATTTTAATATTAGATTAATTTTTTTATAATTTTAATTATATTTATTTACCATTAGTATAAAATATTAAATTTTTTTAATTATTTAATAAGAGTAATTAATACCTCTATAAATATATTAATTTTTTTTCCAATACAATTTCTTAGATAAAATAATTATTATTCTTTAAAGTCACGTCTCAAAAACGTGTAAACTAAATATTTGAAAAATCTTCAAGTTAATAATTACAAACAAATTTTATGTTACAAATATTCTCAAAACTTTAATTAATAAAATTTTTTGAAAAAAATAGAAAATAATTAAGTATTAATTTTAAGAATTTAAAGAATTTTTAAGAACTTTTTTTTATTTAAATTTCTTCTATTTTATTAAACCAAATACTCCAAAAGATATAAATAAATAATATTAGACCTATACTCAGACGTCTTTTTTCTATCCATCTTATTTGTTATATTTAAAAAAAGTAAAATTATTTTTTCTCATTATCTAAAAAATAGCTGTCTATACTTAACGGACGAAATAATATACTCGCCCGTCTTCCAGATACTCGATTTTATCTTGAACGGGCGAAATAATCTATTTTTCTTATTTTGCCCGTCTTCTAAAACACATTCATTTCGACGGGCGAAATAGCCAGTTCACACAGCCGTATCTATTTCGCCCGCGACGGGCGAAATAGCCACTCCGTAATTTTTTTTGTTATATAATTGAAATAAAGAAGATCTGCATTGTATACTAAAAAAACATATATTTTATTTAAATTTTTTTTTTAAATGTAAAAAAAAAATGTCGAAAAAGTCGTAAAATCCGCGTGGCCTGCATTTCATATTTTTGTGCTGATTTATTAGGTTTTCAAGAATTATCTAATATGATAATAATATGATTATATGATTTCTAATATGTTTATTGGTAATTGCAAAATTAAATTGAAAAACATCAATTTTTATTAATAAAAATCCTTTTCTTAATTTTTTTTCGAATAAAAAAGTAGTGGATAAAAATAAAAAAAAAAATAAAAACTCACTTTGAGTTGAAGTTTGTTGAGTATATTGCGAAGAAGAAGAAGATGAAGAATAGTACGCTGGATTATTAGATGTTGAATTATCATTTTGACCTGAGTATTGCGACGAAGATGTTTGATTTGTGGCCGTATTATTACCAGCATTGGTATACAACATATATCCATCCTGCTGTTGATAAACAGGACTATTGATAGATTCCGTTAAACCACCAGCTACATTATTTTGTTGCTCTTGGCCCTGTAAAGTCTGTGTATTTTGATAACCCGAACTATACTCATAACCACCCGTAAGAGAATTATACACATAACCCGGATGTCCTTGATATGAATCCGTTGATGAATTGGACATTTCATTTGATTGCTGTACATTTCCATAATTATTGCCATAATTTTGAGAATAATTCGAATACTGTGAAGAACCAGAATAATGCTCCTGGGGATTATAATAATTTGTTTGATAATTTGAAAATGAATTTGCTTTTGCATGACTTTGTATAATTTCCGAATAACCAGGAATATTTTGAATTGTCGCCGAATTTTGAGGATTTTTATTATAAGTAGTTGAATCAGGTTGCTGATAATTTCCATATGTATTATAATTATGTGTCATTTCATTTTGATTTTGAGACACATATCCTCCTACTTGAGATTGATTATTCATGTAATTCTGTTGTTGATCTGAGCCATAATTTGAATATTGAGCGGCCCCATCGTAATAAGAATTGCTGCTAATATTTACGGATGGATTTTTAGTCGTTGCTGTTGAATATGTCGAACTGTCAGTGGCCGAAGTATTTGTATACATTCCCATATGTTGATTAGGAATGTATTGCTGTGATAAGGAATAATGAATTCCTGGTGATGAACTCTGGGGATTTTGGACCAATTGTGTTTGAGGATTTACTGACTGCTGTAAACAAATGATAATTTAATAAAATATTTTTAAAAAATATACTATTGTTTTTTCTCGCTTGTTCAATTATAGTTATAGATACTTATTTTTTATGTAAACTTTATCATTTTTAGGGTTCCGTACTCGGTTCGGAACCCTATTAATATCGGTTTTTTTGAAATCGTGTACCCCCCCCCCCTAGCGGCCACACGAATTTATCTGGAGGGCTGAAATTTGGTACACATATGTATTTTCGCGTGTAGATTACAGGAAAAATATAGCGAATTTGATAGGAATTGATTATTATTATCATAGCGTTGTCAAGGAAAAACCATGAATTTTTACGAAAAATGCCTAAAAATGACTATGTACCCCCCCCCCCACCGCCACATCTTTTGACATAAAGAGCTCAAATTTGGAACACTTACGTATTTTAACGTGAAAATTACAGGAAAAATATAGCGAACTTGATTTGGATCATAGCGTTGTCAAGGAAAAATAAAAAATTTCGAAAAAAATGATTTATTCTCCCTAGCGCACACAATATTTAACCCAAACTGTTCATATTTGCTGTAAAACTGTATTTTTGCGTGAAAAATACAGGGAAAAAATGTAAGCGCGATTGGAGTTGATGATCAATTTTTATCAAATTTTTGAAGAAAAATGATAAATTTAAGAAAAAAATGTATTTTTCCGCAAAAAATGAAAAAAGTTTATCTAAAGTGATTCAAATTTACATATTTTGACGTATTTTTACGTGTAGATTACAAAAAAAATATAGCGAGGATGATTGGAGTTGATTTTTCTGGAGCTGTCAAGAAAAAACTGATAATTTTAGAAAAAATCATGAATTTTCTCCCAATAACGGAAAAAATTTTATCTAAAGGGCTTCAAATTTACTATTTTTACGTATTTTTATGTGTAGATTATAGAAATAATTTAATAAACATGATAAGAAGTGGAAACAGTGGACTTTTTGCTTAAATTTATTTCTTCTGTCGTTATAACTCTGAAATAAAATGAATATGTTCATTTTATAAAAATTTGCGTTCCTCGCGGAGAAAGCAATAAATTTCTTTAACTCATTTAAGTGATTTAAATGATTTAAATTCAATTAAAACGAAAAATGTAAATACAATAAAAATATTGCGAGTTGAAATAAAATTATTTGCTATAAAATTTTTTTTTTCTTTATAGACTATATAACAATAAAAGCAAAAGAAAATGTAAAATATTTTTTAGATATTCGAGAAATTCAACTATTGATAAAAGTTTTAACAGAAATATATATTAAAAAAAAAAAATTAACACTTGTGCTGCATTATTACTTGTAATCTATCATAAATTATCTATTGTGAAATTTTACCAAAAATTTTGAAAGCAAATATTGGGACAGAGTTTAAATATTGATAATTATCAAAAAATATATTATAATAAATTTTTGTAAAAATGTTATTCAGTAAAATTATGTAGCACAATTTTTACTTTATCAAAATTCTAATTCGAAAATTTTGAAGGTTAAAAATTTGTCCTACCTAGTTTCAGATCAGAAATTAATTATTTTAAGAAATATAAATATTTCAAAAAAATGTCATGCAGAGAATTTTTAGAGCTTTCCTAGTATTGTTTAGCACAATTTTTAATTTTTAGAATTCTTATTCTTTTAAACAATCAATTATAAAATTTGTTTTCACAAATTTTTAGTCAAATTTTCATTTTTTTTTCTCAAGAAACGTTTTACTTCAAGATAGACCAAAAATTTAGGACAATACATCACACGTTTCAATTTAAAAGAAAATCAAAATTCGAATTCACGGTTTTTTTCAAGGCGTGACTAAATTCATGTAGTTTTTCCCCGTTTCCAATGTTCGGTGAGCACCCTGAATTAAAAATTGATTTCTTAAAACAATCTCTAATAAATAAAACACTTGTGTGTGTTTTTTTTAGCGCAAATACAATATAAAAAACGTATTATTCATATAGAATAGAATTTATTTTATTTAAAATTCTTTCTTTCTTTTAAATATTTATTTAATCGAATTTAAAAACTAACCTGTTGTTGATTAATTACTTGCTGATTGATCTGATGTGTATTAACTGGTTGCTGATTAATCTGCTGTTGATTAATAGGTTGTTGACTGACTTGATGTTGATTAATTGGCTGCTGATTGATCTGTTGATTAATAGGTTGCTGATTAACTTGCTGTTGATTAATCGCTTGTTGACCAATTGTTTGTTGATTAATCATCATCTGAGTGTTTTGTTGAGAAATAATTTGCTGTGGGGCAGAAATTTGATTGATCTGCTGTAAACTAATTGGCTGTTGCAAATCAACTTGCGAGGAATGTTGTTGAATTGATTGATTACTTTGGGACATAATCACTGACGCTGGCATCTCGACATTTGAAGCTAATGGATTCAAATAATTCTGAGTCAATGTATTTGTTTGTTGTAAATTTGTTTGTGAAATACCAACTTGATAGGAATTAATTGGAACATTTTGATTATTTGTCTGAACTTGAGAGACTGTTCCTGAGTTTGCTTTACCATCAGTGTTGTAACTTTGATGTATGGACGTAACATAAGGCACTGATTGATTAACTTCTATACTTCTACCAGCTTCATCAACAATTACTTGTTGCGTAGATTGCAATTGCATTGGAGTCAAATTTTGTTGCTGATGATGAGGTGATGGACTGTTAATTTGTTGTTGCATTACTGGATAACTTGCATTCTCCGGTAAAACTTGATATCCATAGGGATAACCGGCATTGTATGTATAATTTGAATACTGATCGTTTACTGGATTTGTTGAATAACCTTTTTGAGGAATATAAGCACCATATGAAGAATCAGAAGAATTTGTTGACTCGGTTGATGCTTTTATTTTTCCCGCCTGTCCATAGACACTGTCAGAGAATGTTGTTCCAGTTTTAGGTAAACTTGAGTTTAAATTATTACTTGTATTATTTGAAGTTTCACCGTAAACGTATTGTGTATTATAGGTATTGTGTTGACCGGGATAATATTCAGAATACATATTCTGATAGTATTGATAGGCTTGATTGGGATCAGTAAATTGGGGGACAGCTGTCGAAGGCATATTTTCATGTGCACCATTTTGATGATCGGAAGTTTTTATTCCTGGCTGATCGGTGCTTAATTTTGTCGTTGACAAAGTCCTCTGATCAGAATATTGATTATGATAGACAGGAATGTTCGTGCCTCTATTTGCTAAATAATCCTTAAGTTTTAAGCCACTTCCTGTTGCACTTGGATCTTTTGGAATCATGTTCAATGTACTTTTTGCTTCTACTATTGAAATGTCATTGATTCCATGTAATCCTGCACTATTTTGAGAAATAATCTGTGCACGTTCTTCTTCTTGAACTTTACAAGTGTTCTTAACTCTTTGCAATAATTTCGTGACATTTATTTCCATTTTTCTGTAAAATTCCAAACCTTTCGTTGTTTTTGACAGTAAATCTTCATAAGCATCGTAAGAAGTGATTAGAGATGATATGATATATTCTCGCCGCTTAAGGACCTCTTCAACTGTTTTACGAATTTCTGCTGTGTGCGCATACGCTTCTGTTAATGCGGATAAAATATTATCTTGAGCTGCTAGATTTTGCTCTATTAGGCTAACCTGAAGAAAATTAATCGATATTCAATAAATTAATAATTATTCATATTATAAAGTGAAAAATAAAAAAATACTAACAGTCGGTTGATGTTTGCTAATTTGTTCAGCAAAAACTTGATCCAGTGACGATTCAGATTCTGAAGTAGCAGTTACCAAAATTCTTGTTAAATCATCCTGAGATATTGCGTCACGTAATTTGGTGTGTAATTCATTTCTTTGCCTTCGCATTTCGTCAACTTTATTCAAAATTCGTTTTAACTCTCGAGTGCGAATGTTTTCAGATTCAGTGTCAATTTTCTTTTCACTGCTACCTTCACCTAAAACACAGAGTGAATTAATATTTTTTTAAAGTTATAAACATTTCTAAAGAATAAAGAAAAAATTAAACAAATAAATGAAAATAAATCTCTATTTTTAATAATAATAATAATAATAATAATAATAATATTAACTGATAATAATTAATATTGAATAGTAAATACAAAAATTACCTAGAGATTTGACTGTAGGAGATGGAATGTGTGCCATTAAACTAGACAACGGTTGGGAAAGAATTTTCAAATTATTCACATGTAAATTCATCGCTCTGTGAAGTGCTTGATTACTTTCAGAAGCTTTAGCGTGGGCTTCTTCGTATTTTTTTGCCTCCCTCGTTAAATCGGTTGCAACTATTGACGGCGGCCTTTTTCCCATTGTTTCTTGATACTGTTTTTCCCTGCGAAATTGTCAATAATAAAATATTCGTTTCGAACTTTTTTCCTGATTTTTATAAAGAAAAAATCAATGATAAAATGTAAAAAATAATTTTATCTGGACAAATTTAATAATCTTAAAATATTGATCAAAAAAATTTATTCTATAAATATATAATTAATTTCGAAGTTTAAATTTTACTTTTTATCTCATTATTTTAAATTTCCAGTTTAAACTTACCTCTGTTGTTCTGTAGATAAAATAACATCAATTTCCTTGAGCATTGCTTCCACATTTTGGTAGGTGTCAGATAATTTAGCCATTGTATCTACTTGTTCCTGAATAGCATTGGGTTTTGCATTTATAGCAGCACATCGCTCAGCCAACTCCTCGGGTAAAGCGAGAACCTCAGATTCAGAATTTACAGCATCCGGATCCCATAAACTCAAATTTTCCAATTTTAATGACATTAAATATGTATTTAATATTTGATCGCGCTCTTCAATTTTTCCACCAACTGAACGCAATACTTTAGCTTTCTCTTCCGAATACAATGAATTTGCCTCATGCACTTTCATTGGAACAAGTCTAAAATTATTATAATAATTATGAATCATATGTTTTTAAATTTATATACATTAATAATAAAAATTTTTTTATTTGTTTAAAACACAATTGAATTAATGTAATATCCTCCTTCGATCTTAATATTCTTTTTCTAAATAATTTAAATAAAAAATAATTTGAAAATAAAATTAATAAAATAAAAATGTTTTATTTAAAATGAAAGAAAAAAAAGACTCACCTTGCAAAAATATCCGAGCCGGAAACTTCGGGATCGTTGACATTAAACGAAATACCTTTAACCAATGAAGCACCCTTAACGGTTGGCAAAGCATCTTTTTCTGGCACTTCCTCATGATAAATGTATTCATTTTCATTTTTTGCAGCTTTTCTTTTTCCCTCGATAACATCATTAGTAAATGTTAATGCTTCTTCGATTGCTTCTTTTTCATCAGTGGTACCCGTTATTCCATTAACGCCCTTTGCACTCGCAAAAAATGAACGAGCTTCATTTAAAGCAGTCAGAGATGAATTATAAAAAGCCACTCTCTCGCCCATTTTTCGCTGTTCCTCTGCTGCTAAACCTTGATAAAGTTGCGTCACTGCCAAATGATACGCTCTTTTAAATTTCACATATCTTTTCCAAATCTGCAAAACATAAGAGAAATGCGATAAAATTTTCTTTACAAAAAAAAAAACAATATCTAATTATAATTTTTCTAAAAAATTGTTCTTATATTTTAATATTAAAAAAGGAATTATATCTTTGTTATTAAAAAAAAAAAAAAAAAAAAAAACTCGAAATCTTACCTTGTAAATTTTATTTCCTACAGTTTCACCAACCGTTCCATCTTCATTTCCACCTTGCTCTAAAGTTGCAAGTGCCAAACCATAATAGTCAACAATTTGACGTGCCACTTTCGCTGTAAAACAATGAATATATTTTCAAAAATTTTAATTTAATTTTCTCGAAAAGAACAATTTTAATAAACATACCAACTATTGATGGTTTCCGATTGTCGAGCATACTCTTTTCTAAAATACACTCTTGTCCTTGAGCCAAACACAATTGATACATAAAAGTCATTAGCTCGGGAGCTAAATCAACTCCAGGTGGTTGAGGATAACTATTCTTTAAATGATCAAAAGCCCATGCTGCACATTGAAAATGAGTACATGCCATTTTCATTCCCTCTGGTGATGTACGTTCTGATCTTGCACCCAATTGCGTGTGAATAGCACTAATATTATATAGAACCGATATCATTTCAAAACGAATATTAGCCAGAGAACACACCATATTGGCGTATGTGTCTTTCCTAAAAAAAATACGTATATTATTTAAAATTACAATATTATTATTAAATATCTGAAAATTATTTATTAATTTAAGTAATTAAAGAAATGAAAGATCAATTTCAAATATAGAAAATTTTATAGGTAATAAAAACAAAACATAATGGAAATTTCATTTTTATTAAAAAATCAAATTGGTGATATAATTTTTATTAATAGTTGCAATGAATGAATTAAATTTTCTTTTCCTCTGTACGATCACAAAAAAAGAACTTTTAACTTTCTTAACAAAAATCTAGGTATTTATTTTACTTTACACTAAAGAGATTAAAAGTATCGTATTGCATTAATGAGATTAGAATATGTAACTTCTGCGTGTGAAACACAGTAAACGTTTAAAAACGATTAAAAATAAAAAAAAAACAAAACAAAACTTACCATGTGAAAACAACAGCGGCAGGACCATCTTTTCCCATGGGAAATCTGCTTTGCAAAAAATGTAATTGACAATAATATCTTTTTAATAATTCACATCCCTTGACATCAATTGGTGGCCGAACAGCTGATGATCGTAAACTTTCAAGTTGATGAAGTTCGTTGTTATAAGATTCTGCATCTTCATTGTAAAAATCTCGTATATACTGAAATTTTTAATTTAATTAATAATAATCACAATCTAAATACTCTCACATCATTCATTGTACATATATATATATATCACACATAATATAAAGATATGATTCATTGTTAAATGGATCACAAGTTTTTTTTTATCATTATATTTTATAACCTATATATCTATAGCTTATAAAATATAATATAACACTTATAACGTATATATTAGCAAAAAGTATATAATTAATAAAAATATGTGTTGATAATAAAAAATAGTAAAACAATGTAATAAAAATTTTTGCATAAAATTAAAAGAATTTTCAGAAAAATTTTGTAAAGTAATTTCACATACCTGTTTGAGTTTCGTAGAAAAACTAGTGGGTTCTGGACTAACTTTTAATTGAAAAGAGACCATCGGCAGTCTTGGAACTGCCTCCATGGTCGTTTCTTTTTTACAAAGTCAAAAATTATAAGAAATTTATTAATTGTTGTGTATTATTTGTTCACTACGGAAGATAAACGTCAGAAATTTATCGTTTCGTCTTTTGGAACTTTGTGTACTGTTGATTGCACATGCGCACATTCACTTTCTATAGGTCGCATTCCATTGGTTGATTTGCCCGCCAAGTTTAATTCTATTATTAATCAAAACTTTTTAAAAAAAATTGGAAAACTAAAGAAGTTATTTATAATTAAATTAATGTAGTTTATTTAATAACTAATAGATTATATTTATTCTATTATAATAAAAAACTTACTTTACGAGTAAAAAGTAGAATTAATAATTCTTTGCAAATATTATCCTTTTATTTTTTTACTTTGTATTCACAATTCTTCCTAATCAGGCAAATGATTTCGTTTTGCAATTTTGCTTTTTTTGTTAATTCTTTATAGTATCGACTCTTTCTTTGTTTCTGAGCTTAAAATTGATTTACCATTAATTTCAAAAATTGAATTTTATATACTAAATCATTAGTTATTTAATTAAGTTTTCAACAATTAATTTTTTATACGATATAAATAAATGAAAATTCATTTTATATAAAGACTTACAATTAGAAAAATTATTTTTTGCTGATAGTTTAAGACAATTTGAACTAGAATGTGAACTGGACGATTGAAAAAGGGCAGATCGACTTCGATGAACTTTCACTTGATTCCTATAAGCGATACTTCGACGTCTTTTTCTTTTTCCTGATAATTTAATTTTTGATTCTGAACTGCTCCATTCATCTTCAGCCCAAAATAGAGAATCTGTTTCATCAAATATTCGCGAAATTAAAATAGATTGCTTTAAATAAAAATAATAATAATAGAAAATTTCAATTCATGTCCCAATATTTCTTGAAATTTTTCAACTTACAATATGAAAAAAATTGTGATTTTTATCTCAAAAATATAACTGGGACATTCTTTGAAGAGAAGAAATAAAGATTTCTGATTGACAATAACCTTCATCATCTTCGGAACTGTAAGAAATTCTTCTAGAATCGCCTTTTGCGTGATTTTCCATTTTTAATTTTTCTAATTTTTTTAAAAATTGATCTTATTATTTAAATTTAAAAAAATGTTTGTTTACTGGTAAATTTAAAAAAAAAAATTTTTTTGTCGTGTCAAGTCATTTTTGAAATAGAAAATTGAATAGTTCACACGTTGTTCTTTTATTTTCTATGGATTAGTTAAAAAAGCAACAAGTGATTCGCGATAATAAACGTTTATTCACTTTTCAAAGAAAAAAAAAAAAAATTATCAAAATGTAACAAATCTTTTTCTTGTTTGGAACTACTTATGAATATTAAATAAAAATTATTTAAATATTCGTGTATATAAAAAATGACGACAACTTATTCTCAATTCAGCGCTCAAACAGTGAATATGTAGTAAATTATATAATAATGTGAAGAAAAAAAGGAAATATAAAAAAGAATTTGATAATTTCGATAAAAATAATAAAAATACATTGTGTAATTCAATGAAAGCGAATAAGCGCTGTTTTCCAAAGCAACATTTCCTTTTTACATTAAGATATTGTAAATACAATATTAAATATAATAAAATATAAGACTAATAGTATATTATTAATAGTGTATAATAAACTAATAGTATATTAATCTTGTTTTATAATTTAGAATATATAATGATATATAATAATAATTTTATTATATTACAATATAAAATCAAGTCTTATATTTTATTTTAACTCATCAATATATTTTTGTTGCTTTGATTTAAAATAATATATAGAATTATAATTAGTTCTTTAAACGGTTAAGCCATAGAAAATTAAAAAAAAATTATATGCTAATGTTCTTATCGAATTCTTACTTTCTATCACAATAATTGTATCTGCGTTCTTCCATACTTATATGCACAATAATAATTCTCACATTAATTATTAAATCTCATTCTTTGATTATTTGAAAATTATTCAAATTCTCGGATATTTTTTTTTCATTCTCTCTCACGGACATTAGTTTCAATATGAAAGATATATTCAAAAACTGTTTCTTTTTTTTTAAATTCGCAACAGTTCAATATTTAACGCAGACTATAATAATTTATACATATCTATTTAAATATATATATATATAGGTACATATAAAACGATTACCATACTAATTAGTCATTTTCAGACTTTCGTCGTTTCTTTCCTCGTGAATGATCTGTATCATGAGGACTTGGCGTAATGTGACTTCTCTTTCGCTTTGAATTAGATTCACTTGCTTCGTTGCTTGTACTTGCTGCCGTTCTTGTTTCTCTTCGAAACGACACTTCACCGGTAACTTGAACTAGAATCTAAAAAAAAAATAAATATTAGAGATTTTAGTTTCTTAAAAATTTATTTTATTTTCATTTTTATTGTATTCAATGAATTTTTTAAAAATTCTCAAGTTTTTAACAAAAAATTTTTTAAAAAGTATAGGATAAGTGTACCAATTACGGCGAGTGCACCAATTACAGCGCGTTCATTAAAAATAACTATTATTACTATTATATTTAATATAACTGTTGCCAAATAATTAAAAAAAATTATTTCAATCTTTTTTATAAAAAAAATATAAATGCATCTTATAAAGATGCACATTTAAATACTTATTAATTTAATTATTTGAGATGAAATTTTTTTCTGTGCCGCAATTAAAACATTTTTAAGATTTTCATTGGCTCCAACTTCGGCGGGCAAAGTATCTTCAAAATACACGTAATTTTGGTCACCGAAATTGATACACCGAAACTGATACAAACGCGCCGCAATATAAAATTACGGTATTAGTTTTAATTTCTCATATTTGTTTAAATAATCAATTTTTATAAAGTTAAACATTTTTAGTGCATTTACCCTAACACAAAAATAAAATTTCAAAAATCTTAATTATTTTTAATTATAATAATAATATAATAATTATTTTTTATTAAAATTTAATTTAAGTAGGACAAATTTAAAAAAAAAAAATTCTTAGTTTCATTTTTATAATTTTTTTGAAATTTGATTTAAGCAATTTATTCGAATTAAAAATTTTGTCATAGTTTTAGTTTGTATGGTCAAAAAAATTTTAGGCAATACTTAATCAGGTTTTACAGATATTAAATAATAATAATTTTGAAATGAGTTAAAGTTGAAATTTTTAAAAATAAGTGAATTTCAAAAGATTTTGTTAATTTTCAGACAATAATTAAATTTTAAAGAACTAAAAATAATTTATCAAATAATTTTAGATAACATTTTTTAAAAGTAATTGAATTGTATACTAAAAAAGCCGTTTTTATTAAAAAAAAAATTTTTTTAAATGTAAAAAAAAGTTGAAAAAATCATATAATCCGAAGCCATCAAATATTAAATCAAATAATTGAAATTATCTTCAAATAATCATTAAAATTATAAATATTTAATTTTATACAGATTTACAAAAAGTTTTTTTTTTGTATCAACTCATGGAATATTATTTAGTCAAATATTTAAAAGAATTTTTGAATTATAATAATTCTCAAGATTTGAACTTATAAAATTTAATTAATTGTAATTCAATAATAAAATTTCAAAAATGATTAAAAACTGAAGTTTAATTTTTTTTTTTAGAAGTAATTCGAATTTTTCTTATAAAAAGAAGAAAATGAAAAACTCATGTTTTTTTTGTGCAAAACTTGTCCCGGTCGATGACTTTTTTTATAAGATTAAATTAATTTATTTCTTACCTGCATATGCTGAAGACATTCTTCTTGCATTGTGATAGCCATTTTATAAACAAATGTATCATGTTTATTGTACATTATTGCATTTTGAAACATCAGCATAACATCTCGTTGAAATTGTCTCGTTGATCGTATTGTGCCATTATCAATATTTTTCTTAATAGTAGACAGGTCCATGGGTCGAAAAATAATTGAATGATATCCAGGTGCTTGATCTTCAGTAATTGGCCGTAAAAATGCTGAGGCATATTTATGTGTTGCTAGTCTATTATAAACTAGCATAACAGCTTTTTTCCATGCCCTATAATCAGCACCTTCACTACTTTCCATTTCTGGTTCACTATCAATTGCAATTGTTTGCCTTTTGGAATAGGTTTTCATTACACCTCTACCACCACTCAATTTACTCAATGATGATTCCTCTTCATCTAATTCTGAAACACTTCCCGAAAAATGAGCCTGTTCTTTACGTACACTATCATCTAAATGAATTTTCTTTTCGTCAATTATTTCTTCCTTTATGATTTTTGAATTTTTTTCTCTATCATCAATTGTCATTTCTTCTGGAACATCATTTTCTTCTTTAATTCCTAAATTGTCGTCTTCTTTTTTAATGAGAATTTCATTAAATTTAGATTCTTTTCGTATAGTATTTTCAGTAGTATTGAGAAGTGATTTATTTTGTTCATCTTCTTCGTCATCGTCAAAATCTTTCATATCAGTTTCCAAGAGTTCGGTATTTGATGTTCCATCAGAAGAATCTTTTGTATCTTCTCTTTTAAAATTTTCTAATTTAATATTATCAATTTCTTTTGATAATTTTTTATTTTCCACTTGTGTTTCTTCGTCGTCTTCAGTTGTTTTCTCTTTTTTGACATTTTCTTTTAATGATGAACTAGACTTTTTCTCATTGTTATCAATTTCTTTTTCTTTTTTCTTTTCTTGATTACCGGGCAATGCTGCTTCTTCATCTTCAAGAATTAAACTAATATCTTGAGATTTTTCTGTATCTTCATTGGTTAAAGTATCATTTGAGGAAACACTTAATATTTCGGTATTTTGATCTATCTTCGAGGTATTTACTTTAAGTTTATCATCATCGGATTTAATTTTCTCCTTTGCATGATCTCGATTTGATTTATCATTGGAATTTTTATTCTCAAAATTTTGCATTTTATCAGGTAAATTTTCTGAAAGATTTTCATTCTTTTCGTTGATATCAAGTTTTGTGTTTTCTTTAATTTCGTTTGTATTTTTTGTGGCTTCTTTTCTCGTGGATTCACATGAGTCTTTCTTTGCCTCTTCATTTGAATTTTTAGTTTCATCATGTTTCTTGGTTTCATTCAGTTTTTTAGAATCTTCCGCAATAGGCTTTTTGGCTTCTATTTTATTAGGCTTTTTTGTTTCTTCTTTAGAAGTCTTTTTAATTTCTTCTTTAGGATTCTTTTTCGGTTCTTCTTTAGAAATCTTTTTCACCTCCTCTTTTGAATATTTCTTTAATTCTTCTTTTGGATTCTTTTTAAGCTCTTCTTTAGTGTTCTTTGTTATTTCCTCTTTAGGATTCTTTTTAATTTCCTCTTTAGATTTATTTTTAACCTCTTCTTTTGGATTCTTTTTTACTTCTTCTTTGGGATTTTTCTTAATTTCTTCTTTAGGGTTCTTTTTTGCTTCTTCTTTAGAAATTTTAATTTCTTCTTTAAGTATTTTTTTGACATCTTCTTTAAGTACTTTTTTAACTTCCTCTGTAGGTGTCTTTTTATCCTCTTTGGAAATATTTTTAACTTCTTCTATAGGATTCTTTTTAAAGTCCTCTTTAGGTGGCTTTTTAACTTCTTCTTTAGGATTCTTTTTAATATCATCTTTGAAAAGTTTTTTAACCTCTTCCTTGGGATTCTTTTTTACTTCGTCTTTGGAAATCTTTTTAATTTCTTCTTTAATAATATTTTTCGCTTCCTCTTTAGAATTTTTCTTAATTTCTTCTTTAGGATTCTTTTTTACTTCTTCTTTAGTAGTTTTTCGAACTTCTTTAGTCAACTTATTTACCTCCTCTTTTGTTGATTTTAATGTTTCTTCTTTCATGGATTTATTTGCGTCTTCAATTTCTTCATTCATCTTGAATTTCTTTGGATCTTCTTTTTCCGCTTCTTCATTTTCATTGGCGAGCAATTTTTCTTCCTCTTCAATATCCATAGTTTGTTCTTCATTTTTCAATGATTTGTTGACAATTTCCAAATTTTTCTGATTTTCAGTAATGTTTATTTTCGATTCGAGGGATTTCTCATTTTTTGATTCTTCCGTTGCAATTGCTTCTTGGAATTTCTTTTCGTCCCCCGATTTTGTCTCGTGGGAAATGAATTTTGTTGATTCAACTGTGCCAATAATTTCGTCGATATTCGATGTTTTATTGGAATTAATTTTTTCGTGAATTATTTTACTTTCTAGTGAATCGACAGTTTCTTGAGGATTTTTAATTTCCCGTCTTCCGGTTACGTTGAGCTGTGATTGTGGTAAATTTAAATTATCAATAACTGCCGTTGTTGTTCCAGGATCAAGAACTTGGGGATTGTCGGGAATTTCTCCTTTGATTAATTCCTCGATATCGCCAATAATCTCATTGATCTCATCCTTGTCAATCACATCGGCCATTATATCTTTTGGAATTACTTCGTCAATGTGATCAATTATTTCCGATGTTGATATATTGCCAGACGCAATTGGTGGTTCGATAATTTGAATATTACCACCTCGTTGATTGTCAATTTGCATTAATTGAACATCGACATTTTGTTGAGGTAAATTTGTAGTGTTTGATGTGTGTGATTGTAAATTTGAAAGTTGTGCTGTTCTTTGTAAATTTGCAGGAAGTTCCAAGAGCATTGAGAGTGTCGGAGCACCGGCTGATGGTCGTTCGGGCGTTGCATTTGCAATGGCAGTGGAAACCAATTGATGAAGCTGAGGTGAAACGGTTTGAGTTAAGGGAGGATTGGGAATTTTTGGACTAGAACCTAGAAGACTGGCAATTGTTGGCGAAGTGACTTGAGCTGTTTGTGATTGAATTTGAGTTGTTGGACTTGGAGATTTTAACAAACTCGTCAATAATGGTGATCGACCTCCTTTATTCTTTTTCTCTTCCTCGTCTGTATTTGGATCTAAAGTATCGTGACCACTTTCGGAACTTTCGGATTTTCGTTGAATATTAAAGCCGAGAATTTGTGGAGTTTGTCCTTCTTGTTTTTGTCGTCTCGCCAACCAAGTGGTGTGTGTTTTATTTTTTTGCTCTTGTTCACGTTCTTCTTGCTCAATTGTGAGCCACATTTTTTGTAACTTTTCTTCTGACATATTTACCGATTTAAGAAGATTTAATTCGTTTTTTAATTGTTGATATTCCTCTCTTTGTGATGTTAAAAATTGACTTAATTCGGCCATTCTTTCTTGAGTTAATCGTCGAACAATGGATTCGCCGATAGTCTCGCTGGTTTCACGTTTCTTTCTTTTTGGCGTATCTGCATTCTCTAATAATTGTGCGTACTGAAGAGCACAAGCTTTTTGAGAAAACCAATCGACGGGTCTTTGTGTATCTTTCTCGAGAAAAGGTTTTAATGAACGTGATACACTCATCCAATTTTGATCGCCTGACTTTAAAACACTCGATGCTAAACAAAGTTGTTCTTTGACACTCCATACTTCGCAAGGACGTTTCAATTTCAATCCTGAAAAATTATTTCACTTACTTAAAAGAATATAGTATTCGATATGCTTTTTTTAAACAATGAAAATAAATAAAAACACATATAGCAAATAAAATAAATTAATGTCGTAAAATTAAGAAGAAATATATAAATTAAGAATTTATTTTACAAAATAAATCTACTACTTACATGATAATAAAATTAATATTATTTCACCTATAGATGAAATCATAGTCAAAATGTTTTGAAAATAATGATCGTTTATCAGTATACATTATAGTCTTGAATTTCAATAAAAATGAGAAAAATGACAATTTCATTTCATTTAATTATTCAATGTTTAAGTTAAAGATGCCAACTTAATATTTAAAGTTAATTTTTAAAAAAATAACAAGAATATTGAAAAATTTACAAAATTCAATAAATAAAAAAATGAACATAACCTCAAAACCAAATAGAAGTTTCTTGTTTTCAAAATCTGTTTTTAGATTAAATTCAATCAAATTTTACTTACTTTCTTGTGCCGAGGCCATTTTTGATTATTTTAAAAGACACAATTTAAATAAAAATTGATATTTATCAACATAAATAATCGATTAAAATAGTAATTGCCACATTACAAACAGATCTAAAGCCCGCCGATTAAAAACTTCCGGAATGAAGCGGAAACGGAATCAGCTGTTTTCTCATTTAAGATATACCAGCGAAACAAACGGAATTGGAATCTTTGACATTCGCAACAATGGCGGTTCATAAAGAAGCTGTAAAGAATGTTAAATTTTGATTTTCTTTATTATTAGTTGCAAATTTTTATATATTGCAATATTTCTTTCTTTAAAAGTTTAAATTTCAGTGTTAAATTATTTCAAGTGTATGTTCATTATGTGGCGAGCAAAGAAACTGAACGTTTATAAAAACTCTGTAATTAAATTTACATAAATGTGAGAATTCAATCCAAATAAATAAAGAAAATTGGAGACACGTCATCTTTTCAAGTGATATAGATAATCTTAATAAGATTTATTTTTGTGATATTATTAATTTGAACAATAAAAAAAAATGCATAATCGAAGGCGAGTGCATAATTTCACTTATGTCAGTTCGTGTGTAAAGTACATGATCTTTCTTCTCAACTTTATTATCTGGGTAGGTTATATATACTTCCTGTGTTTTTTTTGTTATTAGTTTATTCTTTATTATAGTTTCTTTGTTAAAAACACTTATCTCTTATCTTATTCATTTTATATTTTAAACATCTCTCTTTCATTGATTTTAAATTTTCTCTCGCATCTCATTTACAATGTTATTGTTTTTATTTTGTACTGTGAAAATGTTTGAAAAATATTTAAATTTTTATTATTTGGAAAAATAATTGGTATGATAAAAATTTATTAATTATTATTATTTATTATTATTTTTTTTATTTTCATTAATTTATTTTTTCTTTCGAATAGAAAAATTATTAAAAGTCAACAAAAATTTGGAAAAAGTTTTTTTTTTGTAAAATATTAAACTACTTAAAAATAATAATGGAAAATGTGGACGGAGTCTGTTAATTGAATTATTAATCTGTCTATTTTTAGTTATTCGGAGGATTGCTGATTGGAGTTGGTCTCTATGCATTTGTCGATAAATGGCAAGCGACTGGATCTGTGAGAGTGGAAAATGTGTACGATGTCGTATTAAATATTTCTTTAGTGATGGTGATAGCGGGAGGAGTTGTTTTTATTGTCAGTTTTGCTGGTTGTGTTGGAGCTTTACGTGAAAACACCTGTCTTCTAAAATTCGTTAGTACCACTATATTATTAAAATTTAATTAATTTTAATATAGGTTTTTTAATTATAATAATTAATTTACGTATTTTTTCTATTTTTAGTACTCACTGTGTTTATTGGTATTCTTCCTTCTCGAAATGGGTGTTGCAATTGTTGGTTTTGTCTTTCCACATACACTTCAATCTCTACTCGAGGAATCGTTTACTGATAAAATAATTCAGTCCTATCGTGAAGATCCTGATTTACAAAATTTCATTGATTTTGGCCAACAGGAAGTAAGACTTTTTTTTAACATTCAACATTTTTTTAATTAAATTTAAAAAAATAATTTTCAGTAGGATCAGTTGGGGTAAATAGGGACAATAGGTTTTGGAGCTTAATTTACAGTTTTAACATTAAGTTCAACGTCAATATTTTAACCTCAGATCACATGCAAGAGGTTTTGGCAGCAAGATGAAAAAAGTTATCGCTCAATGCATAAAAACTTGAAAATCAAAGTCAAACTATTTCAGTATTTTGTCTAGCATTTCAAAGAAAACAGACTTAAAAATCATATCAAATTTTTTTCTTATTCCTTATGACTCCTATAATAGAAATTCACTTGAATTTTTTATTTTTATCAATTTGGTTAATAATGACAACCTGTCCCCATTTACCCCAAAAATTTGAAAACTCAGAGTAAATGGGGACAGCTTGTCATTATTAACCAAATCAACAAAAATCAAAAATTCAAATGAATTTCTGTTATGGGAGTCATAAGGAATAAGAAAAAAATTTGGTATGATTTTTAAGTCTGTTTTTTTTCAAACGCGAGACAAAATACTGAAATGAAAAAAAAAATAAAAAAATTTCAATTGGTTCAACTATTATATATCTATTACAAATATTTTTCAAGTTTTTTTTATCCTTTAATACAATAATATACTTAAGGAAACTTTTTTCTTAAAACTTTCTCAGAAACTGTGCTGTCCCCATTTACCCCAAATTTTATGAAATTTTCTAAATTTTGGGGTAAATGGGGACAGTCAGTTTCATGTGTTTAAAGCTTATCTAAATTTTTTTCTGCTGCATAAAATTAATCCTGGGAATGTAAATAACAACTTAAAAAAAATAAACCCACAAATATTACCTTTTAAAGGAAGAAACTTACGTAATTTGTGAAAAATAGCGATTTTGTCCCCAATTACCCCAACTGACCCTATATAATTTTATTTAAATTTTGAAATTGTGTTAATTTTGTTTGGAATCTTAAAATATTGGAATATATTAAATTTTCTTTTTCTTCATTAATTTTAATTTGTTTTGAATAATTTAGTGAAGTAACTTTTATAAATTTTTTTCTAATATAAATAATAAAATTGCTGATATTGAAATTTTTTACAGTTCAAGTGTTGTGGTTTGAGTCAAGAGGGATATTTAGATTGGGGAAAGAATGAATACTTCAATTGTTCTAGTCCTAGTGTTGAACGATGTGGCGTTCCATTTTCTTGTTGTATAAATGCGACAGATATTTCGGTAAGATTATCTATAATATATTGAAAACTTTATCTTTAATTTTTCATTGAACTATGAAAATGAAAATTTCCAAGTAAAAAATTTTAATTCAACAGAGTAAAAAAGTAATTTTCTAATTTTTTTCAGAGCGGTCTAGTGAATATCATGTGTGGTTATAAAGTGCAAATGTATCCGGTGTCAGAGGCTAGTAAAAAAGTGTGGACCAACGGTTGTATTGATATTGTGCGAAGTTGGGCAGAGAGAAATCTTTACACGATAGCGGGAATAGCATTGGGCGTTGCATTGAGCCAATTGTTTGTTATCTATTTGGCGAAGACGCTCGAGGGACAAATCGAACTTCAAAAATCACGTTGGCATTATTCCTGAGGTTGACCGCAGGCCACCTACCGCTATCATGTAAGCTCCTCAAATAGCAGGCAGGTGGCTAGCGGCCGATCAAGAGGACAAAATGCAGAGGCCAGTGTAAATGCCCGAATGGTGTTACTCGTCCTTTTCGCAATTTCTCTTTATGTGCTCTTCATACTCTCACTGATACGCCTTGTTCTCTATTTTAAAAACTATTTTCATTTGTTTTTAAATAAAAATTGATTTCTCGCAAAAGCACACATACACACACACGAAGACATATAACAATTATATTATAATGACAACAGGAAGATGGAAAGGAAGACTTATCGCCTTGTGATTCTTAACAAAACTATTCTCATGTTCTCTGACATTAATAATATACATATTATACATAAATAGTTAAACAAAGTCGCCTTCACGCGAAACAATATTGTGTGATCTGATATTTTTATGCTTTTCATTTATGCAATGTAATGAATCTTTTATGATTCACGCCGAAATATTCGAAACTGAAACTTGGAATTCAATATTTTTGGATAGATGAAAAAAAAAAAGAAAACAAAAGATGATGAAAGAAAGAAAAAAAAAACTAATTTTTGTATAAATAAAATGCCAGGAATCTTTTTTCTGAATCTCGTAACTAATTAACACTGAATAGTTCGATTCAAATCATATTTTATTGTGGTTCTTCGTCTATATTACTTTCTGCGCTCTCAAATCGTGAAAGGACAAAAATAATTATTGACGAGAGAACCCTTTGCCATTCATTTCATTTAAGATTACTTAATCTTTGTGATTTTTATAATAATATTAAAGAGTCTTTGCTCTTTTTCTTTTTTTTAATGAATATTAAGTAAATTTTATTATTATTATTATTATTATATATATATATATATATAGATTAGAATAAAAAATAGTATTCCTTATTAATGAATATTTTGAGATTTGAGAGATTATAATAATTATTGCCGTTTTAGATTTTTTTTTCGAAAAAACTGTTAGCTGTCCATTTTTATGCATTTGTGGATAATTTTAATTGTCTATAGTGAATGACATTTATATTTGTTTAATTTAAGTATTTTGAATATTTGAAAATATTTGCAATTTTTTTTTTCGATAACGCACAGGAAATTGCGCACATAAATTAAATTGGACAATTTGAAAATTTACAAATTTTATGAGTAAATTATCAAAACATACAAAACCTGTCATTTAAATAAGAGCCCTGTGCCAAAATCCCGTGCACAATCATATATAATGTATAGTATATATTTCATTTTATTTGTCCATTAATAAATCTGACAATAAAACTTGCGTGAATGTATGAATTTTTTTTTTTTTTTGTAAAATGCATGCATTGTATTTTTTATTAATGGTAAAATTGTAATAACAGTATTTGAAATAATTCTATAATTATTAATTGATCTTTGTAGAATGTTCTTTATAGGTTTTTAATTATAAACTTAATATCTAAAGTCTAAGTCGCACTGCAGTAAAAATAATAATGAAAATTGTAAACAATACTATTACAGTTGTAAAATTGCAACAATATTATTGTTCACTAATTGTACATCAACAGTATACAATTATTTATCATTTGTACAATGGAAACAATATAATTGTTTATAATTGTACAATAGTGACAAATATAATTATCTACAGTTTACGTGAAGAATATAAAATTAGGAAATTTTATTTTGTAACAAAAAAATTGAAATTTACTATTCAATTCCTTAAAAAAATATATATAAATGAGTCTATTTTTATTAGACGAATAAAATCAGTTTACTGCAGTTAACATTATAATATGAGTAATCTGTCCAAATTTTAGTCTTTTACTTTACTCGACCAAATGTTGATTATACTCGATTGTAATTATTTTAGCTGTAAGTAGTCAAGCATAGACATACAAGACTTTTGGAAATATTCGCTCAAATAAAATTTGTACTGAAAATAAATTTGTTTTCATTCAATATTTATTATAATACAATCCACAATTATATTATTCACTTTTGTTTATTAGAAAAAAAAAAGAAAAAATTCAAGTTTTAATAGAAATTATAAGAAATTAAGGTATGTAATTATAAATATTAATCTTAATAAATAAAAGTGTTTTAATTGAAAAAAAAACTAAAACGTTTTACTTAAATAAACAGAAGGATCTAATTTATGATCATTGCAATATTCCAAAATTATGCTTTGTCCGTCAATTAAATCTTTGTTGTTGAAAAGATCCGCTAAAGGCACATCCATTTTTTCTGATACCACGAGACCAGTTTCATGATGAAACATTCGTAATTTCATCGAGGTAGATACATTGTTGGAATTTGGTATACCTAATAAATCAGAAATTGAATCAATTGTCTTTCCCATTGTCCAGCTTATTGAGACAAATGCACCTTTCGAGGTTCCAACATTTTTTGTATTTGCGGGATAATGAACGAGAAAATAACGACGATCAACCGTTGGAATTCCTTGGGAACCGGTCGAGTTGCCTTTTAATTTCATGAGTTGTACCTAAAAAAAATAATTGAAATTAAAAAATTGAATTTTTAAAAATATTTGTTGAACATTAAAAGACAATTTGATAAATGTTTTAAAAAGTATTATTTTTTTTTTATTTGAAATAATAATATAATTATTGCTTATATTTAAGTTAAAATTTCCTATAATTTATATTCAAAATTAAATTTTTTTTATTATTTGTTAAAAATAAAATTAGCTAAATATTCCATTTTAATTATAAATAAAAATTAAAAAATTTGTAATTAAAAATGTAGTAAATTATTTTAAAATTCCTACTTTAATAGCCATTGCGGAATTTTTCGATTTTTTAAGTTTCTCCTTTATTGTTTGATCGACAGCAGCTTTTGCTTCAGCAAAATCCTCTTTCGGTTTATTCCATTTTTTCATTTCTTGTGATTTTTCTCTTTCACTCAATTCCAAACAACCATGATAACGATGAGCAAGACAAAAATGTTTTTTACAAACAACACATGGCATTTCAATCACAGAAGTTTGATTACAAGAATTTTGCGAACAATTGTAACTTGTTAATTTATCAGTATTTGTTGTAACATTGTCGACAAACTGTGTGCACGAATGCGAAATTGCGTGAAAATGTTCTTTGCAAAATTCCAATTTACAATGATCACATTGAAATGGTAGAAAATCTAATTGTTTACATTCTTTCCAAGAACAACGAGTTCCCGTTGTGGGAAACTCCATAATTTTATATTTTGAAAGTACTTCGAATTTTAAAATATTTTAAAAATTATATATCAAATAATTTTCTTTTTAACTATGCGACGTTGTTGGTGAGTGCAAATGATTTTCACTGAGTGTGCCAAGAGCAAGATTTGTCCACTTTTGTTCTAATTCCTTGAGAGTCATGTGAGAATCACCGTTGTCACTTTCAGGATCAGGTAATTCTGATAATGGTACAAGAATATCATCAAGAGGAAGTTTCTCCTTTCGCCAAGTGTCGTCGATTAAATCTAATAATCTACCGTCCCCACAAACTTGACTGTCCATTACTACCCGGGTCTGATTTATTCTATTCACCATGGGCCATTACGAGATATCAAAAAACTATAATATTATATTTGAGCTGAAAATAAAATTGTAAAGTCATTTAAAACAATTTTGAATATAATTACAAATTTCTAAAAATATTTATCAACATTTCTCGTACTAAAATAATAAAGTAACTTTTAATTAGAATCTTACAGTATTTAATACTTTGACACTAAAAATTTGACTAAACAGATGTTATTATTAATCAATTTTAATTTTTTATTGTTTGAGTAAACAAGTTTTTTAACAGGTTTTTAAATCTTTTAAATCACTTTTAATTTGAGGTTAGAATTGACCTAAAGGATAAGGGGAAATACTTTTTTACCGACTGTAGGAGTGTAAGTAGTTTTTTTCCATGACGCTATTTTACCGACCATACTTCTTCTATATAAAAAGTAGTTCATGGTAAGAAGCGCTTTTGCTTATCTTTTGGCGGGCAGATATTATATTCCAGTGTTATATTGTTGAAAGTTTTATTTTTTCCCTCATTAATTATATAGTTTGAAGTAAATAACTAAACTCGCGAATACTTTGTATAGTTGAAAACATAATGTGCAACCGAATAATGTGAAAATTTACTTATATATTTGTTTTTAAGTCTATAGTTAACCCAATTTTGTTGATTCTCACCTTCGCGTCGTGTAAAAAGTTATTTTTTTATTTTACAAAGTTCCTTGTCAATATAGAATTGATTATGACTTTTAATAGTAACGACCTAAACTAGATATTTGCATTTTCAGTTGTAAAGTAAAGTTGTAATTGTAATTTCGAAGTTAAAATATTACGAGATAAATGTTTGAGGAGTTTTTCACCCGGCACATCAGACTTAGACATTGAGAGCACATTATCGTAAGTGTAAGTATATATTGTTTCATCTTTTTAAACAATTAAATGTAAGTAATTAGTTGTTTTAAACATATGTATGCATGTTTATTTGCAAAATGTTGGTTTCATTTGGAACTTTTCACAAATAATTAACCTATAATTCGGGTTGTCAATGACAAGGGGTCAATGCTTTAGTTTTATTGTTTTGAAATTGCTATAGAATTCAGTAAAGTAATTTTACACAAGAAAAATATAATCGTTTACTGCAAATATTTTACTACTTTTACTATTTTTTTTTAAATTGAATTTATATTGAATTGATATTAGTTAATTATTATTTATTACCATTCAATTCGTAATTGTGAACGTAGTTTTGTTGTCGGTGACACTTATTGCAAGATCAACGAATAACACATTTGTTTAAAGTTGAAATTTAATTACTGATTTTTATAAATAAATTAGATTGGTTTTCTTATATATAACTTTGTAATTATAGTAATTGAATTACCAACTAAGAAGTAAAATGTTTTATTTCTGTTTCGCTTAAATATAACTCAAACTTTTGATAAATTTTAGGTTATGTTTGTATATTCATTTATGAGATTTGTGTTTTTATTTAATAAGTTATTTTTTTGAAATTTTAATTTTTTATTAGAAAAATTAAACATTTAAAATATAAAAATTAATTTTAGGAGGCTTTCTCAGTCTTCTTTATAAATTTTTCTTCTTATCTGAAAATAAATACATATAATTTCGTTGGCAACAATTAAAATTCAACTAAAATTTAAATTTAAATGTTTTAAAATAAAGAGACTTGAACATATTTAAAAATTTTACAACGGTAATTATTTTATAAATATATAATTACAATGTTTTATTTAAATAATATTTATGCACAAATTAAAATTCTATTAAAATAAATAATATTTTTAATATTTTTTAATGTTCTTAATTCTTTGATGTAAATTTTTGTGTCGGTCGTTGTCGATCGTTCTGGAACTTAATGTAATAAGAGGGATATTAGAGAAATAGAAAATCGCGATGAAAATGTTGATGAATTTAAAAAAGAAATTAAAAAATAAATTGGATAAGTGTGTCAATTACTAAATTTTTTTGAAAAATATTATTAACAATTAAAGAGTTTAAAGCTGTTTTTTTTGTAAATGTTAAAAACGATATTTTAAACCTTGATATATAAAATAAAACTGCACATATGTGTCCTGACGCGGTGAAAGGGACCTTATGGTACAATAGCAAATTGTACTTTTGAATGTTCATAATAAAAAATGAATTGAACAAAATAATTTCTAGTTTTTGGAAAGGAAAGAGCAACTCAAATAATTTGATTTCCAAAAATTAGAAATTATTTTGTTCAATTCATTTTTTATTATGAACATTTAAAGTACAATTTGCAATTGGACCATAAGGTCCCTTTCACCGCGTCAGGACACATATAAACATTAATTTAATTATTTAAAATTAAATACTGCATAACGAAGTAATTGACACATTTAATTTTAATTCAATGCATTGCTTCAATTACTGTTAGCAAGATAATACCTCTAAGTAAACGTTATTTTCGTAACAGAAATTAGAGCATTAGAAACTGATTTAATTTTAATTGCTTAAATTTGTGTAAATACATTATTTTTATGAGGTTTTAATTTTTGTTTAAATATCTAAATAAATGTCGTACTTTTTTTTTAATTCAAAATGTGTCTTGACTAGAATCGCGCAGTAACTAATTTAACCTATTTCTTTTTATTTTTCGCGTTTATTGAAATAAAAAATTCTAATGAAATTCAAGTTAGTTTTGATCTTTAATTATATTTCCTGTAAATTTTAATGGGTTTTACATTTTTCTATAACAAACACCAATAATTCATACATTAATTATAAAATAAAATAATTTGTAGGTATAGAAAATTACATATAATAATATTATTATTATTATTTTATTTTACATATAATAATAGTGAATATCTTTCGTTCATTCTGTCCACACCTGAAGTTAGTATTTGTTATAGGTCTTTTGTTTTTTTTAAACGTGTTGTTTGACATTATTTTGTGTTGGTTAAAATTTTTCAATGTTTTGACATTGTCATTTGTGCGGTCGCATTTTAATAATTAAAAATTATAAAATTGTTAGAATCGTGCAAAAAAATTGTGAGGATTATGAGAAAAATTGATTCGATTGCTGTTAGAGTAAGCAGCATAAGTTGATGGTATGTTTAATTTAAAATATATAATAATTTTTTCAAATTTCAAAAATTTATTTAATTAAATCACGATAATTTTATTAATTTTAAAAATAATAAAAAAATTTTATATTATTTATTTATTTATATTATATATTACAAATTAAATTCTTTTTTTATTTTCACAAAATATTTATTTATTTTTGTTATTATAATTAAAAAAATTTATATTATATATACATATAAATTTTTAATTTTGACTAAATATTAATTTTTTTTAATAATTTTTATTTTTAAATATTAACTTAATATAAAATTTTTTTAAATAATTTTTATTTAAAATAAAATTTAAATTATTAGGTATATTTTATATATATTTATATATGTTACATTAATTAATTAATTAGGAATATTGAATAATATGTATTAATTATTAAATTTAAATAATTTATAAATTATTTATTTATTAATTTAAATTTATTAATAATTATTATTATTTATTATTACCTATATAATAAAAAATAAAAAATTTTATTTAATGATAAATATTTTGATGATAAGAAATTTTTACAAGACCTTTACCGATATATGTTATATTAAAAATTATCAATTTAAATTTTAAATCGAAAATTTTCTTGAAGAATTTCTGAAAAATTATCGGCAGAAAATCAAAAAAAAATCAATAAATATTTTTTTTTATTTGATAAAATGAACAACTTCATCCTTAATTTCGCGCGCTTGCGCGCGTTTAATTTTGCTAGTTAATTATTATTTTTCAAATGAAAATTTTTTTTTAATCGTTAAGCATAAACGTGAATTTCACCGACGTCATTAGTTACCCTATAATACACTGAAAAAAATTTCATTCAAATAATCGGTTACTTGATTATTAACAAAAAAAAAAAATTTATTTGTAATAATTATTATTTGAGTCAACTTAATGGTATTGGTTTCAAATACAGAAATTATTAGTTCAAAAACAATTTATTTAATTGAAATAAAAATTATTTGGTTCAAGTAAATGTATTTTTTTGATAATAGTCAAGTAATTGAGTATTTGAATCAAATAAATTTTTTTTTCAGTGTTGAAATGTGGCATTAATAAATTTTTCTCTTTAATTTTTGGTTGATTATATTATTTATCGTTCTTTGTCTTGAAAATTATCCAGAAAATCGAAATTGAATTTGTCGAATCCCTGCCAAGGAATCGAAATGTTAATCGGATTACAAAACCCTAGCTGGTCAGTGCCCTAATTTTCAATGGTAAAATTCACTATATCTATATATATACATATAGTGGAAGTTAGACGTTAGATTCCTCGGTAGCAATCGAATTCAAGGAGTCGAGATGAGTTTTGGGAATGTTGGTTGGAAGTTGAAGCTATAGAGAGAAACTGAAGAGAAGGGAATCGTGTAGATCTGTGTGTGTGTTGGGTTAAAATGGGAGCACGAAGAAAACGTAGGACCACGTTTCTCCATAGCCCATACAATACACATGTACATATATGTATATATGGTTTTCCCTCAGAAACACGCCTACCTCGTACAACTTATACCAGGGAAGTTTAACTCCTCGTGGCACAACTATGTATGTATATACATAGAGAACTGTACCCACACACATAGATTGCATACTTATGCCAACGTTGTGCACATAAAGTTAGGGGGTGCGCGCTCTCCTCGTTGCCGCACAAGAATAAGAAACACGAAGCATACATAAACAAGGAGGTTGGGGATGCAGCAATTTAAAACGTACCCCGGAATTCCTCCCAGTGGGGTCGTAGAGCGGCCCTCTATATTACGAATTTCCTCCCTCGGTATCCTCTGGTATCTACCAGAGAATTTCAACCGTATAAAATGGAACTATAAGTGAGAAAGCCGTAAATTAGCCGGTAAAATTTTTTGTCGAGAGCTTCCTTATGTTATATAAGATATCATTCAGTCGATCCCTTTTGTATAACCCCCACATTCTACTTTGGGTTTCTGATCAAATTATCTTTCGATTGTCTTCAAATTTAGTTTCCATTTATATTTATTATTATGATCTTTTCTTTATAATCTTACAATCTCATTCTCAAGTGAATTTATATTAGCCTATATAGAATCCAATTGACGAGAAAGATCACAATGCTGAAGACCACAACGTTTATTATCAATGATTTTGTAAAAAATATTTTTTTGAACTAAAAATTCTATGAATTTTCAACTCAAAGATATTTCTTGCAATATTTATTAATCAAAAAATTATAAAAAACATTTTTTTAGATAAATT